CTTGGATGTAGGTCCTTGCCTTTCATGACTTTGAACACTTCTTTCCAGCCACTTTTTGTGTGTAAGGTTTCTTTTGAAAAATCAGATAACAGTCTTATGGGAATTCCTTTGTAGGTAACTGTCTCCTTTTCTCTTGCTGCTTTTAAGATTCTCTCCTTATCTTAAATCTTGGGTAATGTAATTATGATGTGCCTTGGTATGTTCCTCGTTGGGTCCAACTTCTTTGGGACTCTCTGAGTTTCCTGGACTTCCTGAAAGTCTATTTCCTTTGCCAGATTGGGAAAGTTTTCCTTCATTATTTGTTCAAATAAGTTTTCAATTTCTTAGTCTTCCTCTTCTCCTTCTGGCACCCCTACAATTCTGATGTTGGAACGTTTAAAGATGTCCTGGAGGTTCTTAAGCCTCTCTTCATTGTTTTGTTCATTCTATTCTGGTTGAATGTTTCTTTCTTCCTTCTCGTCCACACCATTGATTTGAGTCCCAGTTTCATTCCCATCACTATTGGTTCCCTGTGCATTTTCCTTTATTTCACTTATCATAACCTTCATTTTTTCCTCTAATTTGTGACCATATTCAACCAATCCTGTGAGCGTCCTGATAACCAGTATTTTGAACTGTGCATCTGATAGGTTGGCTATCTATTCATCACTTAGTTATATTTTTTTCTGGAGCTTTGATATGTTCTTTCATTTGGGCCCTTTTTTTTTTTGTCTCTGCACACTTGTTACATAATAAGGGGTGGAGCCTTAGGTGTTCACCAGGGTGGGGCAACCCACCTCGCTGCCTTGTGATGCTGTATGTCAGGGAGGGGTCCAAAAGGGAACCGTGCTGCTTGCTACGCTCTCTGCTGGTTTTCAGCCATTTCCCCTGCTACCCACAAGCAAATTTGGCCCCTCTGCTGCTGATTCCTGGGTGGGTGGATGGGTGGGTTTGTGTACATTCTAGGGCCCTGTGGATCTCTCCAATGAACTCTCCTGTGAGGCTGGGAGTTTCTCTCACTGCCACCTCAACCCGCACAGGTGTTTTCAATCAAAGGTTTGAGGCTTTATTTCCCCACATTGGAACCCTGGGTTGTGCAGTTTGTCTCGTGCCCCAGTTGTTCCTCCTGGTCTACCTGCATGCAAATGTGGGACCACCCAGTCCGAAATCCACCTCACCGAGAGTCCTCTCTGCCCAGCTGCTCATCTCCACCCGATACCCGTCCAGATGAATGTTTCTTCTTTAACTCCTTGGTTGCCGGACTTCCATACTGTTTGATTTTCTGTCGGTACTGGTTGTCTTTTGTTTTTAAATTGTTGTCCTTCTTGTGGTTGTGTGAGGAGGCACAGTGTACCTACTTATGCCTCCATCTTAACCAGAAGTCCTCTCACTAATTTTCTTCATGGCACCTTGGGTCCTAAAGAAATACCTCGTAGTTTTGTCCAACCAACTTAATAGTAGTAGACTATATGATATCTGAAAAATATTGCTGTGTTTCCTTCAAATTTAGAATATTCCACATGCCTACCTGAGTTTGCTGTGGTGCTCTAGGTGCTTTGACATACAGTATGGGGACCGTGATTTAGGGTGAATAGGTTGGAACCTATCAGGCTACAGATTCTTCATATGCCAGAAGAGGGATTGCTTTGTCTGAGGCACAATACCTATAAAGTCAGATCTTTCTGATGATTTGCTTTTTTTCTTTCTAGAAGATCCTTGGAATCTTTATACCTTAGTTATCTGTACTCTGTGTTCATAGAGAATGGAGAAGGCCTTTAAGGGAACAAGCTTCCCATTTTCCGCCTCACTTTCTACTTTTACCTTTTGTTTCCCCTGAGACCTCATCCTCCCAGCATACACCTACAAACATCTACACAGGTCCTGAAGGGCGAATGGGCTTCAGTCTCCATCCTAGAACTTCATGATATATTTTGGATGTAGCTTTCTTTTTTTTTAATATATTTTATTGATTATGCTATTACAGTTGCCCCATTTCCCCCCTTCTCTCCCCTCCACCCTGTACCCCCTCTCCCACCCACGTTCCCCCCCCCCTTTAGTTCATGTCCATGTGTCATACTTATGAGTTCTTTAGCTTCTACATTTCCCGTACTATTCTTGCCCTCCCCCTATCTATTTTCAACCTACATTCTATGCTACTTATTCTCTATACCTTTTTCCCCCTCTCCTCCTCCCACCCCCCCCCCTGCTGCTTGCCCTCCATGTGCCCTCCATTTCTGTGGTTCTGTTCCTGTTCTAGTTGTTTACTTAGTTTGTTTTTGTTTTCCTTTAGGTGTGGTTGTTAATAATTGTGAGTTTGCTGTCCTTTTACTATACATGTCTTTTCTTTATCTTCTTTTCTTAGATAAGTCCTTTTAGCATTTCATAAAATAAGGGCTTGGTGATGATGAACTCCTTTAATTTGACCTTGTCTAAAAGGCACTTTATCTTCCCTTCCATTCTAAATGAGAGCTTTGCTGGATAGAGCAATCTGGGATGTAGGTCCTTGTCTTTCATGACTTGGAATATTTCTTTCCAGCCCCTTCTTGCCTGTAAGGTCTCTTTGGAGAAATCAGCTGACAGTCTGATGGGAACTCCTTGGTAGGTTACTGTCCCCTTATCTCTTGCTACTTCTAGGATTCTCTCCTTCATTTTTACCTTGGCTAATGTAATTATGATGTGCCTTGGTGTGTTTCTTCTTGGGTCCAACTTCTTTGGGGCTCTCTGAGCTTCTTGGATTTCTTGGAAGACTGTTCCCTTTGCCAGAATGGGGAAGTTCTCCTTTATTATTTGTTCAAATAACTTTTCCACTTGTTGCTCCTCCCCTTCTGGTACCCCCTATAATTCGGATGTTGGAACGTTTAAAGGTGTCCTGGATGCTCTTAAGCTTTTCCTCGATTTTTTGAATTCTTATTTCATCATGCTTTCCTGCTTGGTTGATTCTATCTTCCTTCTGGTCCACTGTATTATTTTGAGACTCAGATCCCTTCCTTTCACTATTGGCTCTCCTCCGCGTATCTTCCTGCATCTCTTTTATGGTAACCTGCATCCTTTCATCTAAATTGCACCCAAAATCAACCAATTCCATGAGCTTTCTGATCACCAGTGTTTTGAACTGTGCATCTGATAGATTGGCTATTTCTTGGTCGCTCAAAAGGATGAGTCCTGGGGGACTGATCTGTTCTGTTGGAAACATGTCTTATGTCTTTCCCTGTCTCTCCTTTTTTTTTTTTTCCCGGTCTGGTCGTTCTTGTTACAGTGCGGGGCGGAGCCTTAGGTGTTCACCAGAGCTGGGCACCCCAGTCGCTAGATTGTGACGTTATATGTGGGGGCAGGGGCGGGAGTGGGGACGGGATGGAACAATGGCGGTAGATCCGTTCTCCTGGGCTCAGACCCTTCTCTGGGATTCTGGGCTGCGAACTCTGCCCTGGTCCACAATCACTGCCTCACTGAGTCCACCAGCTGCAGCTTGCGTACTCAGGGATCACCGCTGTGTTTGCGCCCCGGATGGCTGTCGCACCGATTTTGAGCCAAATTTTCCCCGACCTCCATGCGCCGCCGACCCGCACCAGCCCCGCGCCCGCCCAGCTCGTTGTCTCCTACCAGTCTGGATGTACGGGCCTACTTCAACTTCTTGGCTGCCCGACTGCCATTCAGATAAATCCTCTATCAGTTCTGAGTGTTATTTTGTCTGTAAATTATTGTTGTTCTAATCTTGGTTGTGCGAGGAGGTACGGTGCGTCCACCTATTCCTCCATCTTGCCGGAAGTCCTGGATGTAGCTTTCAATGCTCTTTTCCATTCATCTATTTTCTAACTTTCAGATTCATAGAGTTCTCTCAGCAGGAAATAAGCCCACCCTCACTTTTTGCTGTTGTGGACTTACTCCTTTCTGTACTTTTAATCTTTTAATGTAAGTTGGAGAGGGTGCTACCAGGTACTGGAAACTTTATAGTGTCATTTATTTCTCACAGTAACCCACTGAAGGGGGTTCTATTGGTACCCTCTTTACATCTGGGGTAATTGAGCTGTGGTGAAGCTGGGACTCAAACCCCAGTATGTCTACCACCAAAGCAGATGCTATTTTTACTGTCTTTTGGGAAGAGATGTTAAATATACTGGTTCAAGACACTATCTGAAACAGTTATTTCATTTTTTAAAAGACTAAAAATTTTAAACTACCAGGAAAGCTCTCAGGCTTAGCCAGGAATATAAAAGATATGGATCATCCTCTATCTAGGGCTTTTCTTATCTACTGGATCGCCTTATGCAATGATTATCAAACTTCAAAAAATTTATTTGTTTAAATTAAACCTTATGCAGAATTCCAAGATGTTAGCAGATAGAGTGTGTGATGCTGCCCTGGTTGAAGTTAGGTGGGATGCCCAGCATTTACTTCTCAGCTCTCGCTGGTAGCCAGTTTCCCATTGAACATAGTTTTGAGAACCTTTGGTGTAAGGTTGAGAACCAATTGTCAATTGGGGGGCAGGGAGGAGGGAGGACATTTTAACTAGTTTTTAGAATAGTTTGGTACCAAACTAATGTTAAATGTAAGTTATTTTTAAAATTACCTAGACAGGTGAAATTTTTACTCATGTTCTTCATTTTGTAATTCTATAGCAGTATTATTGTTGTTGCGTTGAAATCCTTCACAGTGCAGATTTCTAAAAGGAAATAAGGAAAAATCACTCTGACTTCTCTTAATTTATTGAATGGGTAATTGACTTCGTTCAAAAATTGAAAGTTGTAAAAAGATGTGAAAGGTCTCCCTCTCATGCTTCTTCCTCCATCTATCCTCTATTACCCCTTTTGGGAATGAATTACCTCAGAAATAACCACTGCTATTCATTTTTAAATTAATTCTTCTGTACATGAGCAAATTTAAATATGTCGTATCCCTCTGTCCTTTTACACAGGTTGACTCTATTTAATAGAAATTGAACAAAAGGAATATTTTGAATTATATGTAAAATCAGTAAAAAGTTCAGTTGTACACATATGTAACACCTACATTTCTTTTAACAGGAAAAAATTAAAGAGTACATCCAAATATATTTATCAAACATTATTTTTGAATGGTGAAAATAGTGACATTAAGATTTGCGCTCTAGGAGAAGAGTGGAGCTTACACAAAATATATTTATGTCAAGTAAGTATTTTTCTTTTTGAATAACCAAGGTAGTCATTTAAAAAAACTCAGACTCCTTTAAGTCATGTTCTTTATATTTGCATTTTACAATAATCTTTTATATGAGCAGTGATTAAGCCCTAGCATCTGATTAAAAGTTTTGTTTTATTAGCAATATAGCAAACATTGTTAGTGAAAACTTAGTTTGGTCTAGGAAAGTAGATTTTGAATTTTCATTGTCATACTACCATAGCAATAGATACCTTTTTGTCATTACTTCAGTTAGGTGCTAATTTTGGTGCCTTCTGTTGACAAAAGGGAAAAAATTATGGGAAAAAAATGTTTAACATTAAAGTTAAGGTTGCCAAATTTGTTTAATATGTAAATGATTATTTAACTGGGTGAATTCAGATGCAATGTTGCTCTGTAGTTAAAGTTGAAAGTTCTTGACACTTACTCTTCCTTCTATCCTGGAAAATGCAGTTAAATTAAAGACAACATTTTTAAAAAGTTTATAGACTTATTTAGCTGATACACCTATTTGATTTCTGTGCTGATAATATTACTATCTGCCAGCCCATTTTAAACATTCAAAACTTTCTAACTAAAATAAATATTACTCTGATAGCTCAAATATTTTATTTCTTCATCAAATCTGTCTTTTCTTCAAATCATTGTTCTAGGCACTGGGAATAGAGCAGTGAACAATTCAGTTCTTATCCTGTGGAGCTTAATATTTTTCCCTCTCTTTTTCACCATTTGACAATAATTACTGGTAAGACAGTATAGTTTAAGATTTTTTTTTAGTAGAAATAGTTGAAAGAAAATTTCTTCTAACATTTTAACTACAGTTTTTTTATTTAATTTTTTGAACACTTTTATTTTGCCTTAAAGTATATAGCCTAGAGAATATGTCAGAATATTGGTTTCAACTTGAGGAAATAGTCCATATCTTTCTTTTCAGTCTCTCAAAAGCAGTTTTGTGAATTTAAGGATGAAATGCCTCCTTCCCTCTCAGGAGAAACTGGATTGATAATAGTGCAAGCCACATGCTAAACTATAAGCCCCCTGAGGGCAGAAACTGTATGTTTTATTTACTGCTATGTTCATAGTGCCTTGTCTATACTAAGTACTCAGAAAAAAAAATTATTTTTTTTCTGGTATAAATATGTTCTATTTTTATTTTTTAATTTTATTTTAATTGTTGTTGCAGTACAATTTTCTATCTTTCACTCCCATTCCAACCCACCCACCCAGCCAGAAAAAATTTTTAAATAAATTAGTTCATATTTGATCTATTCCAAAGTAATTCTGTGAGAGGTGCTATCCAGTAAGTAACTAAAGACTGCATCCATTCTGGAACCTTCCCAAGAATTCAGGTTCATTCTTGAATTTTCTGATTAAATAAAACTAAACGTTGGCTTTTCCCTAGTTTCTAGGGAATCATCCTGTTAGTATTGGCTTGGGACTGGTCTGACCCTTTTTACAGCCACTGAGGTACAATAGGATTTAACAGTTTGAGGGTTTTTAGTCTGTTCCCTTCCTTTGGTACATTTTCATTTGTCCACTTTGTGTGTTATCATATGTTTATAAGAGATACTTAAATGGATATATAACATAGTTTCTAAGTTTGAATTTAGAATGTCATTGATAAGGAAACATATACATGAAATATGCCCAAAAATTGTTTCTAAGTAAAAAGCTAATGAAGTTCAACTGTATAGGAATTCAGTTCAGATAGTGATATGAGAATTTGGTTTAGTTTTCATTAAATTAGTACTAAACTGAAAATATTTTGAAATACCTAAAGTGCCCTCATCTCAATTTCTGTTCTCCTTGGCAATTCTTTATCTCTTAAAATATTATGACAGATTAGTTTTGATAGAATGGTAGGCTTAACATTAAAAATAGGGAAATAATTTGGAAGACACAGAAAGTAATGCATAATTGTTTTGGTGGTTTTTTTTTTAAGTCTGGCTACTTTTCTAGTATGTTCAGTGGTTCTTGGAAAGAATCTGGCATGAATACTATTGAATTGGAGATTCCTGACCAGAATATTGATATAGAAGGTAAGTACCACCATAATTATTACTATTATGCAAAATAATGAAAACATAATCTTTTTATTCTTTTGGTAGAAAATAAATACTTTCTTCTAACTTTGGAAACTAGAAAAGAGCTCCATTTAATACCCCAAGGTGACAACATTATATTGATTTACTCCGTAGTTTATCAGTTCTGTTCTACTTGTCTCTAATCTTTTTAGTCACATGGGCCATATTAATCTTTTTACTTATGTTTGTAAATATATCTGCATGGTCTATGAAGGATGTAGGGTGTAGGAAGGAAAAGTATGACCATTTATTTTAATTACTTTATTTTATAAAAAAGCTGGAAATAATATTCATTGATTATTCCCTATATATGAAGACCTTTTATGGAAACAAAAGGATATGAATTATATGATCAGTGTTGATTTAGCACTATAAAGTTTCTTAGATGAGGAAGCTGAGGTCCAGAGGATTTAAGGGGCTTATTTTATGTTTCAGAGCAGTTTAATAAGCCTAGATTAGACGATAGTACTCCTAATTGCTATTCCAGTGCTTTCTTCTCCCCTCTTTGATAGCCCAAGTTGAAGTACCCAGTGCTCACCACAGACAAAGAAAAAAGTTAAGAATATTTATAAAGCAAACCATGTGGGACATAGATACAAGTATAGTGGAGAGCAGGATGGACAGGCTTAGATAGCTCTGGTGGCTGGGTGAGAGTGTGACATGGATAAGACCATGAGCTGTTCCACACTTGCCAGTGGTGAAGCACTGGAAGCATCAGGGTTAAGATTATCATTATGTCTGCACTTATACTTAAAAAGTGGTCTACCCAGGGGTGTCTTTTAAAACTTTTCCCAAGGGTGCTTGAATTCTGACCACCAATTAACATCAAGATTAGATCTAGAAGAATCCAGCTTGATTTAGTAAAATAAATGGAAATTTATAACATTAGCATAACTAATGTTATTAGTATAACATTAAATTAGCATCATTAATCAGTAAATCATTATTAGCATTTTAATTAGTGATATGTGTCTTATCTTTTAAGTACATACTAGACATATGTATCTTCATACATATGTCTTAGTGTGTGAAGATAGTCATTGTTATTTTTGTAATACTCTTATAGATATAATTGTTAGTTCCTTCTACACATGTCCTTTTGCCTTCAGCACTACAGGTTGCATTTGGGTCACTGTATCGAGATGATGTTTTAATAAAGCCCAGTCGAGTTGTTGCCATTCTGGCAGCAGCTTGTATGCTACAGTTGGTAAGTATGCACATTATTCAAAGAAAGTATCATTGTTATATCTTTGTTTCAAAATATCTATTCTAAAAATAAAAATTTTAGCTTTTTACAATTTTTAAAATAAAAATGAATTATATAAATATGCCATTTGTGACATTATCTAAAATGCTTGACCAAAAGCAGTTGATTACAACTGAAGAGGTCATGATGTCTATGTAAAATGAATGCAAGCTATTTCTATATAGACATCTAAGAATGCCTAATGTGGAAAAAAATGTACTTGTCTAAGTCGATTTATAGATTTCTATTTATTAATGACTTATTTTGACTGTTATAAAGCAGATAGCTTATAATTACTAATTCATTTAGTAATGAACTGTAATTCATTTAGTTCAAGGGTTCAAAAAACATCAAGTGATTATAATGTAAACTTTTTCCTAATTATGAAATAACTGTATAAATATACATGACCTATTGGTAGAAGGACAGATTTGTTTCTTTAATAGAAGTATATTAAGCAGTGTGCCAAATCAGGTAAAAAGATCCAAAGGTAAATTAAAATATTGTCCCCGCCTTTAAGAAGCTCACAATATAATATGTCAAGTGGGAGAGGGAGGCTTGATATGCAGACCCAAAGGTAATGTCAGAGCTGTCCAATATTATAGGAACAATAATAAATATCTTATAGGATTTTGTGGATGCACAAATTGGTCATTTCAACCTGGTGGTGTTAAAGAAAGAAATTGTGTTTGAGGCTGAGTCTTGAAAACCAAAAAAATGTATTTCTTTTGCAAAGTACAAGGGAGGGGAAGGAGAGGACTTCAGATATTAAACTAAGACCTAGTGGTGTGAAACTGTGGAGAATTAGAGAATCTGAGTGGAACATGGCTCTAGCATAGAACATAAGAAAGGTTGGAGAGAGGGAGGCAGAGGCCAGATCATGAAAGTCCTCTATACCTTTTAAAAAGCTTGGACTTTATGTTTGAGTACTTTTGGAAGATTGTAGTTGGGAGAAAGACAAAGTTACGTTTTGGAAAGAAAGCTTCAGAAACAATGTGAAGGATGGATTGAAGGGAATATGAGTATAAAACCTATTGTAATAATCCAAAGAGGGTCTAAATTAGGGTTGTAAAGTTAAGAACGGAGAGGAAAAACTGAATACCAGAGAGATCAAACAGGGATAATCCACTGGGCTTGGTGACAAAGAAGATGTTAAGGGGAAAGGGGAGGAAAGTCTAGAATGAATTTCAGGTAAGTTTAAAATCCTAATAGAGTCAACGATTTATTTTGATCTTTAACAAAAGTTAATTTCCTTTTATGTGGCATTTGTATACTGATTTATTTGAAATTAGTTAATAGCTTGCTAAATGTACTTAGTTGAGGATATTTGATTTTTAAAATGTTTTGATCCCTACAATTCTTATTTCCATTAAGTATACTTTATTTGCTAACTTTAGTCCTTTTTTGGTTTTATTCTAAATCCACTTTCTGTGTTATCTTTATGACTTAACTATTTAACCTAATAATACACCTGCATGAATATATTTCAGAAACTTGAGTAAAAAGTGACAGTATTCTCTCCATATATTGAATAAAGTTTGTTTTAAATCTTCTGTGTAAACATTTCAGACTAAAATTTCAATGTAAGTTTAAAACAATAATATATTCAATTTAGGTGCATCAGATATTGATTAAATATTTTAAACTTCAGTAAACACTCTCTGATGATTCATAGGTTACTTGCCTAACCCATCACATGGTTATGTAAAGAGGTCTTAATTGAAAAAGATCTGGCAAAACAGACCAAATGTTGCTTAAATTAGCAAAGGTCCCAGGGAAAGGAAGAATAGAAGAAAGAGAAAAACAATATCATTTCTACCTTACTGCTTTTATCCCCTCCCTTCCATTTTCAGTTTCAAGTATTTAGTTGAATACTTGCTGGATTTTTTTCAGTATTTTTCCTGGACTTATGAAAAACTTAGGCTTGCTGCACTTAATGAGTTTTCTTTCTTTTCTTTCTTCCTTTTTTAATATTTTTAATATGTAAAAGCACGTGTTCAGAACTAATTTTTCCCATGTGAAATGGGCCTTTCCAGTGCTTATTTATATTTACAGGATGGTTTAATACAGCAGTGTGGTGAGACAATGAAGGAAACAATTAATGTGAAAACTGTATGTGGCTATTACACATCAGCAGGGACCTATGGATTAGATTCTGTAAAGAAAAAGTGAGTTACCCTTTTTGCTTTTCCTTCCATCTCACTTTTGGGAGTTTGGCTGCTTTGGTTTTCTAAAAGAATGTGTAGTGATAAGAAAGAAGAAAAAAGATAGGGGAATAGAATTTTGTTATAAAAAGCTCCTTTTTACATTTGGACAAATTAATAAATTTCTCAAAAGTGTTGTCTTTGTAAGTGACCATGAGTGGATTATACATGCTTGTAGAAACTATGGTCACTCTTTATAGTAGACTTGTCTATCAAATCTTTCAAATTGTAGGCATGCTAGGCATTGTATCGGTGCAATTACTGACAGTGTTTTTAGCTCTTGAGAATTGTAGTACCCATTTTTAAATTATAAGAAGGTAATGGAAGTATGTAAACTCTTTCATATACAATTTAACACAAACTTGAAATGAGGTTTTTCTTAATTGGCAATGCTTTTATTAATATAAAGGGAATATTCCCTTAATAACTGCTGACAAAAATAATACTAAATTTTTGATTGTTAAATTAGAAATTTTGAGCATGTCCTAGCAAGACTACTAATATTCAGTTTTTAACTGTAAGTCATACTTAATAAATCATAAATATGTGAAACATAATGTAATAACTCTATGTTTTAATTTCAGGTGCCTTGAATGGCTTCTAAACAATTTGATGACTCATCAGAATGTTGAACTTTTTAAAGAACTTAGGTATTTGACTTCTAAGTAACTTTATAATCATTTTATTAAAATATTGTTTTTCATTTTCCAAAGTATGCAAGACATTTTTGTATAAAACAAAATATTACTTATGAAAAACTGAACAATTTAATGAACAATATCTTGACTACATCCATGAACTAATGAAATACTACACAAATTTCTTTGTTTAAATGATGTAATGTATATTATGTCAACTGTTTTTACTAATTTTAATAGCAAAATTCATTGCTGCTATAAAATTATAGAAAATTTTACAGAGTCACCTCACTTTTGCTAGGCTCTTAGAGAACCTAAGAGTTTATTTTAAAAACTGTCTTTACCATTGAGAAATTAAATTTGAGGAAATTATAAATTTTTGCTAAGCCTAATGAAATTAAATTCACTGTTAGGCTGGCCTTTTAAATTAAGTCTGCTTACTATTCCTTTCTTCCTTCCATCTACAAATATTAATACTTCTAGAGTGTCCACTGTATGTGAAGGTACTCTGTTAGGGGCTCTGAACAACACAGAACTAATTATGTCATGGTCTGTGCCCTCAAGAAGATTATTTGTAGTAATGGGGGAATCTGAGAAATTATGGGTGGGAATGATCTTTGAGGGGCCAGTAGGCTTTGTAGTCATTTTCAGGTTTGCATTTCCTTTGTAGTGGTGCTTCTGAGACAAGGGTACAAATGTCCCTAAGTATTATGTGACATGCCAATGGAAATGTATAAAACCAATGACTTAACTTCCTGGATGTCAGTTTTACTGGGTAAAGGTGGGGTGAAGGGGGGAGCATGGAGAGACATAGGAAATAATGAAACACTTTTATGTTATTTAAACATTATGGAAAAGAGAGAATTCAAATTTCTTTGAACTTTCAAAATAAAATACAAGAATTAATAGAAATGTTATTTTTATGACTAGACCACCTTCTGGATTCCTGTGTTCCTTCCTTTGCCCTGAAGAGGTACTTTGGGAGAAAAGTTTGAGAAGTATCATTCTCTCAAAAAAAAAAAAAAATCCCCTAGTGATGTCATGGCATAAATAAAGCTCTGCAATATGTTTGGGTTGAAAATTATTAGAAGCAGACTTCCCATCAAGAAGGAGGTGTAGGTAGATATGCTTTGCTTCTTCATACAACCAAAAGAAAGATAACAACCAATTTAAAAACAAAGAAATAACCAGAACTGCCAGAAAATTGAACTTTATGGAAATCTGACAACCAAGGAATTAAAGAAGAAATATTCATACAGACTGGTAGAAGGGATGGAGATGGTGAGCCAGGATGGCTGGTGAACTGGGTGGGAAAGACGGCAGCTGGTCGACCAGGCAGTCCCACATTTGAGTGCAGATAAACTAGGAGGAACAACTGGGGAGTGAGACAGACTGTGCAACTCAGGGTTCCAGTGTGGGGAAATAAAGCCTCAAAACCTCTGACTGTAAAAACCTATGGGGATTGTAGCAGCAGGAGAAAACTCAGTCTCCCAGGAAAGCCCATGGGAGGGACCCATGAGATCCTAAAATGTAAACAAGCCCAGCCACTCAGGAATTGGCACCAGAAGGGCCCAATTTGCTTGTGAGTAGCCAGGAAAGTGACTGAAAGTGGCAAGAGCTGAACAAGTGGCATTATTCCCTCGCCGTACCCTCCTCCACATATAGCACCACAAGGCAATGAAGGGGGTTGCTCCACCCTGGTGAGTACCTAAGACCACCCCCCTTACAGTGTAACAGGTTTGCCAAGATGAAGAAATCTGACCCAAATGAAAGAATAGATCAAAACACCAGAAAAATAACTAAGTAATGAAGAGATAGTCAAACTTTCAGATGCAGAGTTCAAAATACTGGTCATCGGGATGCTTACAGAAATGGTTGAATATGGCAGCAAGATAAAGGAAGAAGTGAAGGCTATACAAAGTGAAATAAAGAAAAACATACAGGGAACCAACAGTGAAGGGAACTGGGACTCAAATCCATGATTTGGAACAAAAGGAAGAAGCAAGAACTAAAAAAAAAAAAATGAGAGGCTTAGGAATCTCTGGACAACTTTAAGTGTTCCAACATCCGAATCATAGGGGTGCCAGAAGGAGAAGAGGAAGAGCAAGAAACTGAAAGCTTATTTGAAAAAATAATGAAGGAAAACTTCCCCAATCTGGTGAAGGAAATAGACTTCCAGAAAGTTCAGGGAGCCCAGAGAATCCCAAAGAATTTGGACCCAAAGAAGAACATACCAAGGCACATCATTATTAAGTTACCCAAGATTAGAGAAAGAGAGAATCTTAAAAGCAGCAAGAGAAAAGGAGACAGTTACCTACAAAGGAGTTCCCATCAGACTGTCAGCTGATTTCTCAAAAGAAACCTTACATACAAGAAGTGGCTGGAAAGAAGTATTCCAAGTCAGGAAGGGCAAGGACCTACATCCAAGATTACTCTATCCAGCAAAGCTATCATTTAGAATGGAAGGGCAGATAAAGTGCTTCCCAGATAAGGTCAAGTTAAAGGAGTTCATCATCACCAAGCCCTTATTATATGAAATGTTAAAGGGACTCTTCTGAGGAAACAGAAGATCAAAAACTATGAACAATAAAATGACAACAAACTCATAACTATCAGCAACAGAACCTAAAAAACAAAAACTAAGCAAACAACTAGAACAGGAACAGAATTGGAGATGACATGTAGGGTTATCAGTGGGGAGAAGGGAGAATGGGGAGAAAGGAACAAGGAATAAAAAGCATAATTGGTAGGTACAAAATAGACAGGAAGAGGTTAAGAATAGCATAGGAAATGGAGAAGCCAGAGAACTTATGTGCAACCCATGGCCATAAACTAAGAGTGGGGGATTCTGGAAGGAGGGAGGACAGGGTAGAGGATAATAAAGGGGAGAAAAAAATAAGACAACTGTAATAGCATAATCAATAAAATATACTAAAACAAAAAAAGAAGAATTATGTTGTATAAAAAAGAAAAATATCATTAGAAACTAATTTTTTTCTTTTATAATTTCTCATTGAGCTTTTTCAAAAGAAAGGTAAATCACAATGGTCATCTTAAAAGCTCAGAAAACTAAAAGTCGAACTGCCTTTTGACCTGGCAATTCCACTGCTGGGATTATACCCTAAGAGTCCTGAAACACCAAAAGAACTTATGCACCCCAATGTTCACAGCAATACAATTTATAATAGCCAAGTGTTGGGAGCAACCTAAGTGCCCATTAGTAAATGAGTGGATCAAAAAACTATGTACATTTACATAATGAAGTACTACACATCAGGAAGAAAGAAGGAGCTCCTACGCTTCACAACAGCATGGATGGAACTCGAAAGCGTTATGCTAAGTGAAATAAGCCAGGCAGTGAAAGACAAATACCATATGATCTCACCAAAAAGTGGAACCTAAGCAACAAAACAAATAAGCAAGTAAAATATAACCAGAGACATTGAAATAAAGAACAAACTAACAGTAAGCAGAGGGGATAGGGGAGGTGGGTAACGGGGGAAAGAAGTGGAAGGATTGTCAAGAAACATGTATAAAGGACACATGGACAAAGCCAAAAAGGGGTAGGATCGAGGGTGGGAGGTAGGGATGGGTGGGAGGGAAATGGAGACAACTGTACTTGAACAACAACAACAAAAAAGACCCAGATGCTTTCTCTTATTCTGACTTAAAGTGAAAAGAAAAAGGAAAACAACTGGTGATATTATTTTCACTCTGAATTTAAATTAGCATATATTCTTAATCTTACTCTCTTTTATAATAATAAAAACATGTTTTATGACTAAGCAATTCTCTTAAGCCTAGAGTGTAAAGGTTATTTTGAATATCTATTGGTTTCAGTGTATTTTGACAAGTGTCTGTTTTTATAAACATTGAATGGGGAGAAGAGGAAAAAGAAGACTATCACCTTATCAGAGTATACCAAAAGTTATCTTATTGGGACCTTACTTTAACTGGATCACTTAGCAGATGAGAACACTTTTTATTCTAACAGTGTAAAAAAAAAGTCTTTTCAGCCATGACTGGTGTAGCTCAGTGGATTGAGCATGGACTGCAAACCAGAGTGTCGCCAGTTCAATTCCCAGTCAGGGCACATGCCTGGGTTGCAGGCCAGGTCCCAGTACGGGGTGCCCAAGAAGCAACCACACGTTGATAGTTCTCCTCTTTCTCCTTCTCTTCCCCTCTCTCTAAAAATAAATAAATAAACAAACAAACAAATAAACCTTAAAAAAAATTTTTTAAGTCTTTTCACAGCATACTATCTGAATTTTACCTGTGTTCAGATAAATTATTTTCTAAGATACTTTGTGTTGGCCAAAAAGACTAATTTAATTTTTAATACCATATTTTCTTTTAGCCTGTTTATGAAGATAAACTTACTACCTCTATTTTATCTTTTCTAGTATAAATGTCATGAAACAGCTCATTGGTTCATCTAACTTATTTGTGATGCAAGTGGAGATGGATGTATACACAGCTCTTAAAAAGGTATTGATGTAATACAATGTGTTTAGGATGTCATCTCAGCATTAACTATAATAGTGAAAAACTGGAAACAGCTAATGTCCAGTGATAGGGAATGGTTATAAATGTGAGAAAAGTAAAAGGAAATACGCCAGAATGTTTAAAAAAAAGTCTTTATATTTAGGGACTTGCTATTACGATGAGTGATTTTAATTTCGTTCTCCATACTCTTGTGTCCTAGATTCCATTTGTTTTTTGCAGGTTTTTTCAACAACAAATATGTTATTGTTATGTTATTTACATAGTCAGAAATGTTAAATGTTTTACAGTTGACTCTTGAATCACTCAGGGGTTAGGGGCATTGAACCGACTTCCCCTAACCCTGCAGTCAAAATTTGATTCCCCCAAAACTTAGCTACTCATAACTACTAATAGCCTCCTGTTGACCAAAAAGAAGCCTTACCAATAACATAAACAGTCAGTTAACACGTATTTTGTATGCCATGTAATCTGTATTTTTACAATACAGTAAGCTACAGAAAAAAATTGGGGAGGGTGCTCTGCCCACAGGGCGCCCCCTGGCCACCATGGATGAGAATAAGTCTACCAAGACATGATCTGCCTGGGGAGGAAGGGTGGCCGATCTCTCAAAGGAGAAGGACCAAGAGCCTTTTCCTCAGTGGGCTTTTACTGGGTTCAGTTTGCACAGGAATACAGGTAAAACTCATCAATCATTGTCAGGCAGTAAGGATCAAATAATAGATAGCATACAAAGAACTACAAGGGCTTATTCTGAGTCAGGGTCTGTTAGCTAAAGGGCTATGAAACTTTGGGGAAACAAACTCATTTCCTGATCAGACCCTTATCAGAAAATTGAGAGCATTCTTAGCAAAGCAGGTTTCACAGGATTTTACGCATTCTTTCATAGGCCTGATCACCCTGGGGAACCTGCCCTTTCCAGCACAGGACTGCAACTCCCTCTCACATTGTTTCAGGCTTAAGTCAGGCAGGGGAAATAAGGCAGCCAAGAGATTAGGAGACTTCTTGCAGACAGAATGAGGACTCAGGCTATGTCAAATCCAAGGGGCAAGGGTCCGTCACCCCCTTTCTCAATAGCCCCCCAAGTCCTTCCCTGAGGGCCCCCCCATAACCATGCCTGTCTTAGGTCATCCCTCTTGTGAGGAATCTTACCTGTCATTGAGTAACCAGTCATCTGCCCAGGGCCAAGCAGGGTGGAGTAAAAGGGGCAGAGGCAGCGCCTCTGCCAGGGAGATAAGCTTTGTCTTGTTAGTGGCTTATGGTCCCAAGGTCTCTCACTCAACCTTAGCCATGGGGGGTTACAGCTTTGAAACCAGGCAGGGCAGTTAGTTCCCAACAACAACAACAACAAAAATATGAAGAAAATCATAAGGAAGAGAAAATACATTTACAGTATTTATTGAAAAAAAATCCACAAATAAGTGGACTCACCCAGTTCAAACCTGTGTTGTTCAAGGGTCAACTGTACATGGTTTTCAGAAATGTTCTCAGAGTTGAGCTTTAGTTGCATTAATGAATATGATGAAATTTTCCCACTTATTTTTTCCAGAAAATGTTGAAATTCTTCTTTTAAAGACTTCATTTGCACTTCAGGCATATATTTTCTCACCCTTTCAAAAGTTTTCAACATTTTAAATGTAATTTTATTTTTACATCTCTCTGAAAAGACAAATTGGCTCTTGTTTTTTTGTAATTTTTTTACTTTTAAATTGTTATTATTGTCATTATTATTTTTGTTCTGTAGATACTGAGTCTTAGAATTCTTAACAATTACTAAGTGGCAAACTTGAGTCAGAACCCAGGTATTATGAGCCAAATGCATTGCTTTTCCCACTGCATAATTTTGCCTTCAGCCTTCTGTCACCAGCATGGAGTGTGCATTTAACACAGTTGTGAAATCTTGGAATGAGACACCTGCTAGTTATATCATTGTGGTTGTTTGTTTTTACAGTACGATGAGATTCTTTTACTATTTTTCTTCAAGGAAGTTTAGTAATGAGGTTGTCTAACCATTAAAGGAGTGGTAGACAGCTCAATTCTCCCTGAGCCATTGGTAGCATTCATATTTTCTTACTGATGTAACTGCTGTTATGCCAGAAATGATAAATGCTTACTGTGAGTCAAGGACTATTCAAAGTATGTTACACATATTAATTTTTTTAATGTCCTGTGAGGTAGACATATATATTAATCCCGCTCATTAAACAAATGAAGAAATTTAGGCCTGGAGAAATTAGGTAGTTTGCCCAGCTATTAAGTAGTAGGGTCAGGACTTAAAAGTCCATGGTCTTTGCTACAAGCATACTGTCTCAATAGCTATAAGACAATAAGAAACACTAAGAGAGTAAGAAACTCCTTTTTCCCTTGTTTAGTTTCTTACATTTTAAATCTCACATACTATGTAGTAAAATTGAGTTAATTGGTGAATAGAATAAATTAGTATAAAATTAGTATAAATTTGGTAATGTGATATTAAACCTTTACCTTTTTAATAGTGTAACTACAGTATATTTGAAACCATAAATACTTTAAAGGATTAGTTTATTCTTTATCACACACTCACCTAGTTTTTATTATTAGACAATGATTAATGCCATGATTAATTTAAAGCTTGCAAGCATGTCATGTAATAGTTCTATGTCTTCCAGTTGCTTGTAATGAAAATTAAAATTTTTAGGTATTATATTTTAAGGTGGAAGCATGTTGAAAATGTAAAATCATAGTATGATGAAATCTTGTCATTGTTTTCTCATTTACTTTTTTAATCTAGTGGATGTTCCTTCAACTTGTGCCTTCTTGGAATGGATCTTTAAAACAACTTTTGACTGAAACAGATGTCTGGTTTTCTAAGAGGAGAAAAGGTATACCTGAATTTTTATTGAGAACTTATTTGTTTTTTTTTTATTGAAAGTTATTAAAATCATTATAGACCTAGAGAATTTTAGTGCTGGAGAGGACCTTAGCAATTATCTAATTCAACTCCTCATTTCCACTGAGGAAATTGAGACTGAATAAGAAAAATTCCTCAATTAACTGAATTATTACTTCTTAAACCATGTTTTGATTCCCCCAAACAATTGCTTTTCTCATTTTATCCCCAACAGATATTGCTAATTAAATTTATCTTTTGTTTGACCACATTGAATTTTCCCTAGCAAATTAAATCCTGTGTATTAGGCAACAATTCTTAATATGGGGGGCCATGGACAGGCTTCTGTGTGTGAACACTGGAAGTGGATGCAAAATTTTATGTGTCTGTGTCTGTTGCATGTGGCAGGCAGCGTGGGGGTGGCATAGTAGATTCTCCATACCTTTTATCAGATTCCCAGGAGAGGCTGATCCAAAATTGGTTAAGATCAATTGCCAATACATCTTTCTTACCTGGACAGAGGTAGAGCATGCAATATATTTATTTTTTTACTTTGATAAAAAAGGTACAGGAAAAAAAGTTAATGGCCCTCAGGTGTAAGGAATAAATCACTCATAATCCTAGTTCATGATTTTCTTACTTTACTATCATTTTTGACCCATTTATGGCCAGCTTTTTTGTTTATTTTTAATACTATATCAAACCTCCAGAAATTAATCCTCAAGTACTAGAACATTAATAACTGTAGTTGGTTCATGTGTTTATTGTTTGTTGTGTCCTTTTGACTTTCCCCAACTACTGTCTTGAATTTTGAGTTTGTTGTTCCCTTGTTTTAAAAAATGTTACTGCATATATGTATGTATGTATGTATGTATGTATGTATGTATTAACATAATACAGTAGTGTGCTGGTAAACTGGCTCTCTAAAAAACATAATTCCTGACTCCTAGCACTTTTTAAATTTCCATTTTACAAATTCTCCCAACATGGCTGACTTCAAGCTACCAACATGACATCACTGCATATGGAGTTGGGAAGAAATATAGCAGCCCCTATGAGCCAGTACGAGCCAGCTCCAGCACACCCCTGGACAATGTGTCATTTTGTTTTAGTTGTCACTGAACTATTTCATATTGTGAACTTGACTTGATTTTTATTTCTTTAAAACAAAGAGATTGAACAGGTCTTTATATGTTTATTGGTCATATGTTTCCTCTTCTGTGAAATATCTATTTAGGTTGTTTTCCTATTTTATTTTTCTTTCTTTATTTATTTTCCTATTTTAATATTGTATTTCTTTTCTTAATGATTTATAAGCATTCTTTATATATTCTTAAAATCAATTCTTTGTCATAAATATGTGTACACTTATCTTCTATAGAGTTTATAGACTATCATTTTTACTTTCTTAAAGGTGTCATTTAATTAAAAGTTCTTTTTTTAATATTTTATTTTTAAATATTTTATTTATTTATTTTTGGAGAGAGGGGCAAGGAGGGAGAGAAACAACAATATGTGGTTTCCTCTCACATGCCCCCCCACTGGGGACCTGACCCATAAACCAGGCATGTGCCCTGACTGGGAATTGAACTGGTGACCTTTTGGTTCGCAGCCTGAGCTCAATCCACTGACTTTTCCAGCCAGGGCTAATTAAAAGAAATTCTTAATTTTAAAATTTATTGCTCTTTGTGCCTTGTTTAAATAAATGTTGTAGAATTATTTTATGTAGTAAGATTTCCTAGCTTAGAGCCAAATGAATTATTTTTCTGTCATGCTCATGAACCAAGCATGCCTAAAGGACCATTTACAGGGAGAAAATTTAAACAGAGGGAGAGAGATAAAAATTGAAAGAGATGAGTGTGGAGAAGCTAAAAAGACAAGGGGACTCTGTAGAAACAGATGTTAGGTAAAAGTTAACATAAACTTATCCTCATTTTAGCTCCAGATGGATTAACCATAGCAGTCCAGCATGAGGGAAATTATTCTGTAGCCGAAGTGGCAGAAACCAGAATAAGTAGCTGTGGTCCATTTTTGGTTTTCTTACCGTGGGGTCTTAAACTCAGCTTTCATAGTGTAAAAGTAAACAGTTTAAGATGACTTTTCAGGGGGACATTTATTGCATAAAGCAAAAATATATATCTAATGCTCTTGATTTTCAGTGAGGATTTTGAGGTCATTTCATACTGTTTTAAAATTATAAAAGTGATGGATACTGAGGAAATAAAACAGAAATCACTTGTCCCTTTACCCATTATATTTTGGTGTATTTCTCTTAGGTTTTTGTAATTATTTGATTTTCAGATATATATGGATCAGGACTACAGAAAAAATAGAAATTCAGACCTGTTTTTTTTTTAGACAATTATATGTTTAGATTTCTATCAAATTTGGCAGGTGCACTTAGTATAGCAACACTTTGAAAAGATAGAATCTTTAAGAGAGGATCCAAAATGGAGGCATAGGTGGTCGCACTATACCTCCTCGCGCAACCAAAACTAAGGACAACAAGAATTTATAAACAAAAAACAACCAGAACAGAGAGAAATGAACCCAACAGAAGTCTGAATACCATACATCCAGTCTGGTAAGGAGGGGCGGAATCGGAGGCCTACTGAGAGGGGTCCACGGGTACCGGCAGGAAAAATTGGTGGCTGGCAGATGCTAGGGCACAGACCGCCGACCGCAGCTGACGGGCTGGTGGCAAACCCTGGGTGCAGGAGGCAGCGAGCAGACCCAGTGAGGTGCGCAAGGCAGCTGGCTGTCCGCAGCCGCACATTCGTGCACAGAACTTAGTGAAAATGGGCAGCAAGACACAGACCACGCATCCAAGGGACCCAGTGCCGGGAAACAAAGCCTGAAGGCACCGATTAAAAATACCTCTGGAAGTTGAGACTGGGAGATTCTATCCGCCTCACAGGAGGCTCCTTGCAGAAACCCACAGAGTCCGAGAGAGTGCACAAGCCCACCCGCCCCAGGAGCCAGCACCAGAGGGGACCAATTTGCTTGTGGGAAGCAGCAAGGGAGACTGGAATCCTGGTGAGAGTGGAGCAGGCGCCAGTGTTCCCTCTCGGGCCCCGCCCCCACATACAACGTCAGCAACTGAGGTGCCCCACCCTGGTGAACACCTAAGGCTCCACCCCTCATATGTAACAGGTACAACCAGACCAAAGGAAAAAAATTAAATTAAAAAGATGGCTCAAACAGAGTTAAAAGCCCCAGAGCCAATTTTGTTAAGCAACTGAGAAATAGCCAACCTATCAGATGCACAGTTCAAAGCACTGATGATCAGGATGCTCACAGAATTGGTTGATTTTGGTCACAAATTAAATGAAAAAATGCAGATTACAATAAGTGAAATGAAGAAAAATGCACATGGAACCAATAGTGATGGAAAGAAAACTGGGTTTCAAATCAATGGAAGGGACCAGAAGGAGGAAAGGAACAACCAAACAGAAAAGAATGAAGAAACATGAATTCAAAAAAATGAGAGGCTTAGGGACCTCCAGGATACCTTTAAACATTCCAATATCCAAATTATAGGGGTACCAGAAGTGGAAGAGGAACCACAACAAGTGGAAAAGTTATTTGAACAAATAATAAAGGAGAACTTCCCCAATCTGGCAAGGGAAATAGACTTCCAGGAAGTCCAGGAAGCTCAGAAAGTCCCAAAGAGGGTAGACCCAAGGAGGAACATGCCAAAGCACATCATAATTACATTAGCCAAGGTAAAAATGAAGGAGAGAATTCTAGAAGCAGCAAGAGATAAGGGGACAGTTACCTACAAAGGAGTTCCCATCAGAATGTCAGCTGGTTTCTCAAAAGAGACCTTGCAGGCAAGAAGGGGCTGGAAAGAAGTATTCCAAGTCATGAAAGGCAAGGATCTACAGCCAAGAATACTCTATCCAGCAAAGCTTTCATTTAGCATGGAAGGGGAGATAAAGTGCTTCTCAGATAAGGTCAAGTTAAAGGAGTTCATTATCACCAAGCCCTTATTATATGAAATGTTAAAGGGACTTATCTAAGAAAAAGAAGGTAAAAAATATGAACAGTAAAAAAAGACATCAAACTCACAGTTAGTAACAAGTACACCTAAAACAAAAGCAAACTAAGCAAACAAAGAGAACAGGAGCGGAACCACAGAAATGGAGATCACACGGAGGGTTAGCAACAGGGAAGTGGGAGGAGGAGAGGGGGGAAAGATATAGAGAATAACTAGCATAGACAATAAGTAGAAAATAAACAGGGGAGGGCAGGAATGGTGTGGGAAATGTAGAAGCGAAAGAACTTATGACACATGGACATGAACTAAAGGGGGGGGATGGGGGGTGGGAGGGGGTGGGCAGGGGGGAGGGGAGTGAAGGGGGAGAATGGGACAACTGTAATAGCATAATCAATAAAATATATTTTAAAAAAGAAAAAATGAAAAGATAGAATCTTTAAAACAGTTTTTTAATTCCATGAATTCTTACAAAAGTAAATGAGGCAATCTCTTCTGTGCCCTTGAATAAAAGGCTTCATGGGATAATTTCCAGATGTCTGTGAGACAGTCTAGAATTAGATTTTTATAACTTGTTCCTGTGATGGAGCATCCATAGGAACATAATGGTATTTTTATTTATATATTTTTTAAATCCTCACCCAAGAATATGTTAATTTTTTTAATTTTAATTTTAATTTGTTTAAAGATTTTATTTTATTTTTAGACAGAGGGGAATGGAAGGAAAAAGAGAAGGAGAGAAACATCCATGTGTGGTTGCCTCTTGCACACCCCCTACTGAGGACCTGCCCACAACCCAGGCATGTGCCCTGACTGGGAATTGAACCACCGGCCCTTTAGTTCATAGCCCATGCTCAATCCACTGAGCTATACCAGCCAGGGCAAGAATATGTTTATCGATTTTAGAGAGAGGGGAAGGAGGAAAGAGAGAAAGTTCATTGTAAGAGAGAAACATTGATTGGCTGCCTCCCTTATGCGCCCCTACTCAGGGATTGAACCCTCAACCTTAGCTATGTGCTCTGACCGGGGATTGAACCTACAACCTTTTGGTGATGGGACAATACTCCAACCAAAGGAGCCACCCAGCCAGGGCTATAGTGGTATTTTAGTACACCCCATGAAATTGGCACACATAATGCAACATAAGAACTAGAAGTAACTAAAAAGATAAGACATGTAGATCCACAGTTATATGCTTGTTGCATAAGTAAGCAAAGTTAACTATTAATTTTTTTAATGAGCTTAACTTCTTTCTTGTTTGCTTTATTTGACACCAGGTAGTTACCAAAGGAATACCAAAAAAATGGGATAAAAGCTTGAAAATTGTGAAAATTCTTTTCATTAACTTGACTGTCTTTTTGTAACTTTAAAGAAAGAAAAAATATTTTAATGGGCAATACCTCCTTCACAGTAAACCTGTGTTCCATGTGAAGCATAGTTTAAGGCATAATAGTCTGCAATAGCAGCTCCCAACTTCTTTTCCCTGTCTTTAATAGCAGTAGGACTTAGTGTGTTCTCATGGGTAGACCTTGTTGAATAGAAAACAGACTAGGGCTTTTGCCCTTGTTTGATAGCAGTAACTCCATCTTTCCTTCCCACTCATGAAAGTACATTGGAATGCAACTGAGAGTAACTATTTTTAGAAGTAATTTTAAATTCTCCCAAAAAGAAAAAAATTAATGGCCTTTTTAGATTTTAAATAATTTTTATTTTTCAATGACAGTTGACATATCATCTTATATTAGTTTTATGAGTACAACCCAGTGATTAGACATTATATAACTTACTAAATACCTGTCTGACACCATATATCATTACTACAACTTTATTGACTGTATTCCCTATGCTATATTTTACATCCCCATGACTAATTTTATAACTACAAATTTGTAACCTCTCACCTTTTTTACCTACCCCCTCAATCCCTCTCCTAGCAACTGTCAGAATGTACTTTGTATCTATGATTCTGTTTCTGTTCTGCTTATTCATTAATTTTGTCTTTTAGATCTGTTTTGTGTGGTGTAAATATTGCTACCCCAGCTTTTTTCATTTGTTTCCATTTTCTTGAAATATCTTTTTCCATGCCTTTACTTTCAGCCTGTGTGTGTGTCTTTGGATGTGACGTGAATCTCTTGTGGACAGCCTATATAAGGTCTTGTTTTGTTATCATTTAACCTCCATGTGTCTTGATTGGAGCATTTAATCTATTTCCATTTAAAGTAATTGTTGATAGGTATTTATTGCCATTTTATTATTCATATTTTTTATCTTTTTGTCTTAAAGAGGACCATTTAACATTTCTTATAATACTGGTTTGGGGGTGATGAACTCGTTTAGCTTTTTCTTGTCTGGGAAACTCTTCATCTTTCCTTTGATTTTAAATGTTTGCTTTGCTGAGTAGGGTAGTTTTGGTTGTAGGTCCTTGGTTTTCATCACTTTGAATATTTCTTGCCAGTCCTTCTGGCCTACAAAGTTTCAGTTGAGAAATCAGCTGACAGTCTGTCTCATGAGAGCTCCCTTTTAGATAATTGCTTTTCTCTTGTTGCTAAGAGCCTCTCTTTGTATTTAACCTCTTGCATTTTAATTATGATATGTTTTGGTGTGGGCCTCTTTGGATTCATCTTATATGGAACTCTGTGCTTCCTGGACTTGTGTGTCTATTTCCTTTACCAGGTTAGGGAAGTTTTCCATCATTATTTTTTCATATAGGTTTTCAATTCCTTGCTCTCACCCTTCTCCTTCTGCCACCATCATGATGTAAATGTTGGTGTGCTTAAAGTTGTCCCAGAGGCTGATTGTACTATCCTCATTTGGGGGGATTCTTTTTTCTTTTTGTTGTTCTAATTGGGCGTTTTCTGCTTCCTTATCTTCTAAATCTCTGATTTGATCTGCTTCATCTACTCCACTGTTGATTCCCTGTAATGTATTCTTCATTTCAGTTAGTGTACTCTTCATTTCTGACTGGTTCTTTTTTATATTTTCTGTCTCTGTTTTTATGTTCCCTAGCTCCTTGTTGATGTTCTTATTAAATTCATTTACTCTTCCCTTAAGCTCATTGATCAGCCTTAGAACCAGTGTTTTAAACTAGGCATCTATTAGATTGTCTCCATTTGTTTAGTTCTTTTTCTGGAATTTGTTCAGCTCTTTCATTTGGGGCATGTTTCTTTGTCTCCTCATTTTGGCTGCCTCCTTGTGTTTGTTTCTGTGCACTAGGTAGAGCTGCTACATCTTTCAGGCTTGGTAGAGTGGCCTAAGGTAGTAGGTGTCCTATAGGGTCCAGTGGCACATCCTCCCTGATTACCAGAGCTGTGCACTCCATGTCTGTACCCCATATGGGCTGTGTACACCCTCCTGGTGTAGTTGAGCCTTGATTGCTGTTGGCACCTCAAGGGGAGGAATTTACCCCCAGGCCAACCAGTGAGGACTGGTTGCAACAACCATAGAGGATCAGCTGTGCAGGGACTGACCCCACAGAGCAGCAGTGTTCTGGTGCCCACTGGGTCTGCCCCCTGAGTGTGTCACTTGTAGAGGTGGTTGGGTGGTGCCCTGACATAGTCTGAAGCTATCCACCAGGTGTGCTGGCTCTGGGGCCTCCCGGGAGGTTCAGGCCAAGGTCACCTGCCACCTGTGCTCTGCCTGGTGCTACCTACCATGAGTAAAAAAGTGATCTGCAGATGGCAGCTATATATGCTGGGCTTGGAGGTGCCCAGGAGAGGCCAAGCAGCAACTAAGGCCAGCTGCTGCTAGTGTCAGGCCTGAGGCCATTTAGTGAGAGGTATGTGGCATGCCAAGGCCAGATGCCACTTGTTTGAGGGATTTTAGGAAAGCCCAAAGCATGAACCTAGATAGGCTATTTGTATGGAAAAGACACTGGAAATGACTTGGATGGACCTGCAAGTTGGGGGTGGTGGGGTCTTTAAGTTAGATTGACGAAGACTCAGATAGGGCTCTCGCCTGCCAGCTCTTTGGGAGGATGGTGCAAAAAAGGAACAATGGCATCTGCCAGCACTTCTGTTTAGGAGAAAGCTGCTCCTTTGGCTCTCACCATGATGCCAGACCACTCAGTTCTTCTCAGTATGTCCCTGGTCCCCCAGTGCTGGAATTCAGAGCAAGTGAGACTAAGTCTGTGTACTGTCCCTTTCAGAGAAACACCTGTGACTCCAGAAGCCCTCTGTCTCACTCAGCCACAATCCAAGCTGGTTTTTACAGCTAGCAGTTATGAAGACTTCTCTTCCTGGCAATGGAATCCTGGGCTATGGGGCCTGCTATGGGTCTGGGACCCCTCACTCCTTAGGGAGGACTCAGCATCCGAGATATCCCTCCTGATTTTTATCTGCCACTTGTGGATTTAAGACCACCCCATTCCATGTCTCCTCCCCTCTGACTATTCTCTGTGTGGCTCCCTTTTTACATATTTAGCTGTAGGATTTCTGTTCAGCTAGATTTCAGGTGGTTCTGAATAATAACTGTTCTGTAGTTTAGCTATAATTTCAATGTGGTTGTGGGAGGATTCGAGTACTGCATCTACCTCCTCCACCATCTTGACTGGTTAAGCCACGTATTTATTAAACATGAATTATTTTAACAATAAATACCACCCACATATCACAAATCTATGGCTCCAATGTCTATGTATCTTATTTTGTATTTGAATAGAGAATTAATAAATTAACTAGTGTTCATCACATGTAGCTAAAGCATAAGTTAGAAGAATCCCAAGAGACATTTAATGACCTGTGTATCTTTTGAAGACCTTTGAGTGAGGCATTTGGGCTCTAGAGTTCCACTGGACTTTTTTTTAATGTTTTTATTTATTTATTTTTAGAGAGAGGGAAAGGGAGGAAGAAAGAGACAGAGAGAAACCGTCTCTTGGATGGTTGTCCAAGTGTCCAATGTGTGGTTGCCTCTCATGGAATCCCGACCCCACTGGGGACCTGGCCTGCAGCCCAGGCATGTGCCCTGATTGGAAATCAAATCGGCAGCCCTTTGGTTCACAGGCCAGCACTCAGTCCACTGAGCCACACTAGGCAGGGCTCCACTGGTGTTTTCATTGCCATGGAAAGAGTGTCCTGAAGAGATACTGCAATCCTAAGTATCATTCTCAAGCATTCCTTTTGCCCTTGTTGCACTGTAAGCTCCAAACCACAGAAAGGTATACAGCTGAATTGTAAGGGTCTGCTTAGGACCAAAGTCAATTTCCTGGAGCTTTTTTCTAAATCTTCCCAAGTTTTTATCCATATCCCTGAGGTTTATAAAATCTTTGAAAACTTTGAAATTGGCTGATTCCAATAGATGTACGTGTGTGTATTCTTGAAGCATAAAACCATTTAAGAAAAAATAAATTAGTATATTTGAAAAGAATGGCTATTTAATTTAAACTGTTTTTTATAGATTTTGAAGGTATGACCTTTCTTGAAACTGAGCAAGGAAAACCATTTGTGTCAGTATTCAGACATTTGAGGTTACAGTACATTATCAGTGATTTGGCCTCTGCAAGGATTATTGAACAAGATTCTCTAGTACCTTCAGGTAAGAGAATATGATGAAGTTATGATTTTAACTAATATCTACCTGATTCTAATAGTAATATTTATCATAGAAAATAATAATTAATAGAAATTATCCTTAATCCCAAGAAGGTACAGATTTTTATACTGAAAGCTGAATGAATCATACTTGGAAGTAATTTTCTGTGTTCACATTATATATCTTGGGTATTTTTCCATATCATTAAATACTCTCCATAATATTTAAGTAGCTATATAGTTTTCTGTTATATGGGTGTTCTTTAATTTGAATAACTAGTACACTATTTTGGATCATACTTTTAAAAATGATTTTTGTAGAATTATGTAAAGATTATAACTACTTTTTCTATTAATACTCCTTAAGTCTGCTTGTTTTCTTTTTTATTATTCTAGTCTTAAACCTCATGTCAAAGCCAATGTAATATCTTTGCTAATTATAATTTAAATTTTTTGAAACAATAATTTAATATTCTAAGTTAAATTTCTAATGCTTACATAAGACTCAGTTTAGTACCATATATGCATATAAGAAGTATAAAATAGAATTTCTGTTTGAAGATTTATTTGTAAATTTGTAAACATTAGTAATAGGTTTATCTGAAAGGTTGTAATTATCTGTTACTTCAATTTTTTATATAGCTGTGTGTATATAAATTGTCCTTGTAATCTGTATACTTTATATACTTATTTAGAAAGGTATTTAATGTAAAGCAAACCTAGAAATGAACCAATGACCTATTTCTGCTATATTTGAAAGGAATGCATTTTTATAAAATTACTCTTAAATAGGTTTATAGACACTGTTTTTTCTATTAATTTTACAAAAACTATTTTTATAATATTAATTTTAGAGAGCCAAGATGAGAGAATATGTATTATATTTGCATGGTTGTGGGGTTTTTTTAAACACAGTTTCTCTGAAGATTATATTCCCTGTAGTGTAGCAGTTCTATAGTAGTTTTAGTATGTATTATACACCAGGCTCTAGCAGTGGTGCAATATGAGATACCAAGGCCAATTACACTCTAATCATACTTCTTTTTAAGGTTCTTTAGAAATGAATTTTGGAAGAGGTTAAAAAAAGAAAGTCTATTCTAAAGTAATTTAATTTAGGCATGTCTGTGATGCAAGTGGATAAGCTTTGTATTTTGGGAATGCAAGGTGGGTATTAGTATTTTTAGTCTGCAGTATTTTATTCAATGTAACATTGAAAAGAATTTAGACCCTGTATTTCTGACTAGACTTTAGCCATTTTGTTTTACTTAAAATTATAGTAGAACTTTTTCTTTTTCATTTTAATGTACCCCATCTTACAGTTACAAATAGATAAGTAGGTTTTCCTATATCCCAATAAGAGTTATAGTTTCAAAAGCAGAATATAAATTAAAATTTTATCCTATGCTGTTTGTGAAGGGCTACAAAGTGGCCACAGAACTCAAATTATCTAGATAGTTGGTGTGTGCTTTCAATAGGAGTAGATCCTAGATTTGAAATAAATTAAAATAATTTTGATTACCTAGCTGAAATTCTTTTTTTTTTTTTAATTTTACTTATTTATTTTTAGAGAGGGAAGGGAGGGAGATAGAGAGAAACATCAATGTGTGGTTGCTGGGGGTCATGGCCTGCAACCCAGGTATGTACCCTGACTAGGAATCGAACCTGCGACATTTTGGTTCGAAGCCTGCGCTCAATCCACTGAGCTACGCCAGCCAGGGCTGAAATTCATTATTTTTTAGAAATAGTGCCAAACACATGTTAACATTATTCAAAGGTATGTATTCTGGGGAATTTTACTATCTCCATTTTGACCACCTTTAGGTAAAAAATCTTAGATATGTCTAATTCCAACTTAAGTCAGGGTTCTGTATAGAAATATTCTATATTAGGATTTAACTGTGTCAAGCACAATTGAACTCCATTATTTAAAGGAATTAGATCTATCTTACATCAGATCATTAAGTTTGTTTTATTCCATATTCTTTTCCTTGTCCTACTTCCCCCTCTCTCGATACCTCTGACCTGTCTTACCATTCCTCCCAAACCTTTCTGTTATGTGCTCTGGAATTAGGATCAACTAACTCCCATGTCTTCCATCTCTTCCCTCCATGTATTTAGTTCTCCCAGAGGACTATTTTCTCTCTAGAGGACTTTGTTTCCACTGAGACACCCTGCCCCAGTATAGGGGTGGGAGGCCAGATAGTCCTAGTCCCTCAATGTCCTTTCCAAACATTATTGCATATGATCCAACTAACCCTCTAGCCTTTCTCTCTTGGCTTCTCCACATTCATTTATGACTCGGATACCTGATTTACTGTCTATCTCTCCACTCCTGTACAGTCACATAGTGAGTTTATATGATCATTCCATTTAATACTCTACCTTCCTAGTAATTTGACCCCAACTCCAGTAACATAGGTTTGCTGAACATTAGGCCCTCACTACCCATAGAAACACCATGAACCTTGTTATCCAGAATTTCTTAATATGAGAAATCTGATAGTTTTCAGGCTATATATAACCCAGAAGGTTCACAGCCTCATTCCCTTTACATTGTTGTTTGATTTCCAATCCATTCTAAGCCCTACATTTTCAACCAGTCTTTCAGACCTCACTTGCTGGTTTTAGCCCTGGATGTCATGATAGATGTCAGCCACTCTCTCACAGTTGCCTTCAACTCCTGTTATTTATTTGGCAAACCCTAAAACTAAATTAAACCTTTTTTGTTCCTATACCCTCTATTCTCTGCAAACTACCACTGCAGAGCATTCTACAGCTTTTCTATTGATGATACTGCAAATTCACATTTCAACACTAAGCCTGGATCTTGGGGACTCCTTACACTACTTTTACTTGATCAGTCCTCTTTTTCATTCTTTTTAGCAATTATATCAAACCTCTGCCACTCTGTTCAAGCTTCCTATCTAATCACCTCAACTGTCAGCATAGAAACTCTCTGCTTTTTATGTAAATTTGAGGTAATCAGGCAATAATGTTTTTTCAGTCCTAGTCTTCCCACTAGGCCATTCTTCCCCCTCCTGTCCCAGAAGTTGAGGTGCTCCTTCCCGTTTCAAGCCAGCCTTCATTTCAACCTTGTTCATAATCCTGTCACTTCCTATTTGTTCTGGAATTTTGCTTTATCATATAATCTCTATCTTGAAACTTTTCCCCACCTAATTTCCCTCAGCCTATGCAGTATATTCAGATCTCTTTTATTTAAAAAAAAAACAAAACAAAACAAAAAAATATCTTCCTTTGACTCTTGAGTTTCCCCCTACAGCAACTATTCTTTCCTTTCTAAGATACCTTCTGAGTAACCTATAGATGCTGTCTCTATCTCCTTACTTTCAGTCATTTCTCAACTCACTGATCTGTTTTCCCTCACTATTTCACTACTCAGTTAACTAGCAAAAGTTAAGATTGTCCTTTCTGCAAAATCTAGTGGCCTTATTTTAACTTCTTTAGCATTTTTATCATGGATCATTAGTTTTTTCTTTAAATTCTCTATTGTACTACCTTAGTTTAGAAATGATATACTCTCCCAATCCTTTTCCTCTCTCTCTGACTGTTCCTTCTCTTGTTCATTTTTAAGCTTCCCTTACTCTGCCCGTCTCCTAATTTCCTGAGGGTGCTTTTGGCCCATTGATCTTTTCATTCTATACAGTGTCCCAGAGTGGTCTCCTTCATTCCTATTAAGGTTCCAGTTCTGGCCTCTGCCCTGAGTTTCATACCTGGATATGCAACTGCTGGCCACTAATTGCTTCAGTTCATCTGTTCAAAACAGTACATATCTTTCCCTTACAGCCCCAATCCCTGCCCTTTTTTTCTTCCTTTGTTTCCTGTATCAATAATTAACATCATTAATAACCCAGCCTCACAAAAAAGGCAGAATCCTGGAAGTCATCCTATAGTCTTCCCAAGCACTTTCTCCACGTCCATTCACTGGTCCTGTAGATATTTTTCATGGATAATTCTCAAAATTATTTCCTTCCATTGCCTGCCACCACTCCCTCGTTTAAGACATTGTCAAAAAATTATTATGAGTTATGAAAAGGAAACTATTAAATGCAGCAATACACTTTTAACTAAAGACTTAAATTCTAATTTAAATGTATATAATCTAAGTAGAAGCCATCCTGAGGCAAAAAGCAAAATAGCACTTACCTCTTTGAAAATTGTTAAGCCATATTGTTACAGCATATGTATAAAATACAAACTATCAGCTTTATTTATTTATTGCTATTCTAAACTTGAATTTAGAAATAGTAACAATTTCATAAACCTCTTAAAATTTTTAACTCCTTTATATTCTTCTATGTTTCTTACTATTCTTATTATTATATTTATTTATTTTTACATTTTAGGATGGCTGTCTTCTGTGTATAAACAGCAGTGGCTTGCCATGCTCCGGGCAGAACAAGACAATGAGGTGGGGTAAGTATGTTATATCACGTCACTGCTGATCAGAAAAAAACTTTACCTATAAATTTTTTAGTGCATTCATTATATTGAAAGATCAGTAACAATATTGAAACATCAAGTGCTATTAGAGGAAAGTACAGTATTGTACACATATTTTTCTGTGTGTAATACCACTCCCATGTATAACGTGCACCCACATTTTTGTGCACCTTGTACACGTGATGCAGACTCCGGCCCCCAGGGTCCATGTGTGGTGGCTGCGATGAACAAATGCACACGGACTGCAGAAGTCCTGTGGAGAAAAAGGGACAGCATGGCCGCTCTCTAAGTGAGAGAGTGCCCCAACCCCTGGCTGGACAGGCTTTTATTGCTTTTCTGGGTACATTACATGGAGGATGGTCCTCATTTACTATGCACAAGTTCACTGTAGATGATTACCTTTTACAGATAACAAAGGAAAGAATGTTGCTAATTACTTCGAAGAAAAGGATGTTGCAGATCAAGGGGGAAAGTGGTTGAACTGGTTACACTCCATACTTGGGAGGTTTAGCAAAGACTTTAGGAAGCCATTTTAAAGATACGCAGTAAACATTTGCTGCCTCAATCCAGGGTGAGAGAGCTTTAACAAAAGTAATGCTCGTAGCAACCCAGGTACAATGCAGACCTGATTCCCCATGGGAAAACCTATCCGTGGGCTTGGGTCCTGTGTGCCAACCTCACTCCCCATCAGTTTTCCAAATCAAAGGCTGGGCTACATTTCCCATACCACACAAAACAGTTCCCTATATACACGGAATTATTATGCCCATTATTACACCTATAGTATGTTTACCCATGTGTAATGTGCATCCTTATTTTTCCCTCAAAAATTTGGGCAAAAAGACATACATTATACACAGCAAAATACAGTAATCAGCTTTAATTCTTATATTTCTATAACATTATTAATCTTGTAAATATTTCTTTGGTCATTTAATAAATGAAATATTTGAATTGCTATTTGCTATATTAGTGAAATTGAGTAATTCATATACTTTGTTTCACCTAGTGTTATATTATGATTTTCTTTCAACATATTGAAATATTACTTGGAATGATATTTTCATAGAGCATGATTTTCATCTTATGTATAGGTAAAACTAATTTTCTTATTTGTGGTAGTGTTGTCAGATTCTAATTAATAGATTTTTGAGGATGTTTGAGTCTAAAATCAATTAACATCATCTGGTTATAGATGCTTTACCCAAAAGCATATGTTCCCCTACAAAATATTTATGGAAAAGTAAATTATCGCTTTCAATTCATACTGCTTTGCAGTTTACAGAAGTACTTCCACATTTACTACTAGCTCCTTGGTATGGAAAGGGTGAAGAAATAATCCAAATGCAGTATATAGAAGAGGTCTTAAGAAGTTGAATATTTTTTGCCTTTGATGCCCTTTAACCCCTTTTACATACCAAAGAACTTACTAAAATAATGACCTAGTTATGTTTATATCCAAACAGTGAGTGTATGAAAATGTATGAATTCATGATAATAATTATGAGATTGTCCACGGTTTTTAGTTCTACTTTATTTTTTTAACTTTATTTTTATTGTTTACACTACTGTAGATGTCCCCATTTCCCCCTCCCCCTTTGCTTACCTCCCCTTAACCTTCATTCCCCTTCCCTCAGGCCATCATCACACTGTTGTCTGTGTCTGTGGCTATGCATATACGCTCTTTGGCTAATCCTACTTTATTTAATTTATACCCATCTTTTCCCAAATAGATTCACAGCATACTTATCTTGCACAAGCATAAGATTGTTGAAACAGAAATAATAAATCAAAAACTAAAAAATGAAAGTTAACTCTTTCATCAAATTCAGATTTAAAGCATTTCGTAATAGATAAAATTCTTTATAAATCTTCTTCTTTTGTGTATTCAGTTTTTAAATGTTGAATGTTCATTTTTTTAAAGGTTTTTCTCATCTGTATCCTTACTGAGTTTAATATAGAATCTCACCTAAGGGAGAATAGGTGTTTTTCTTGTCCTAGAAGTATATAATTAAGTATACTGTTCCTCATGAAGCACTCTGTCCATGATATTGAACATTTGCTCACTCCTGCAGGACTACTAAAGTGAGGACTATATTTAATCAATGCATTCTTAATTTTATCTACACCACAGAATATTTGTGTTTTAAATCTAGCGGCAAGTTTTTCCGTTCTTTTTAACTTACAATTCTTTTGCAATTATTAGTTGCCTTTTCCTATGAGATTTCATGTTTTATGTATATTTCTAGGCCTCAAGAAATCAATAAGGAAGAACTAGAGGCAAATAGCATGAGGTGTGGTAGAAAGCTTACCAAAGATGGTGAAGTAAGTATGCATTGTGATTCTTAATAATTCTCATAAAATTGCTCTACTATTAGTGCAAAATACACTTTCAGTTATAATCATGACACCTATCATAATCCAGAAGAGTTTTTTGATACAGTTTCTGTAGCGTGATCTCCTGGACAAGAAGTTATACATTCAGTGGTGGTTGATTATTCAGCCTTACATCAGAGTGTAAAACTTTATGGGTCCAGATAAAAGAGAAGAGAAGAGGATCCCTCAGCAATACAGAAATTAAGATAAATAAGCAATTATATGGGAAATGTTACATAGTGTTAAAATTTATTCTATTTTACAATTACCCTAAATCAAAGGCATTCAGACCCTTTAATTGCTTCCCATATTAAGAATTACATTTTTTCATTACCAAGCAATATAAATATATATAAGTGAAACAAAAGTGTTATGAATCAATACTGCTGCTGTGTCCAAAGATCCTATTTTCTATTTAAATTTTTAAAAAGCTGATTAGCCCTGGCTGGTGTGGTCAGTGGATTGAGCGTCAGCCTGGGAACCAAAAGGTTGCTGATTGGGTTCCCATTCAGGGCACATGTCTGAGCTGCAGGCCAGGTCCCCAGTTGCGGGTGTACAAGAGATTGATGTTTCCTTTCCCTCACACACTGATGTTTCTCTCCTCTTTCTCCCTCCCTTTCCCTGTCTTAAAAAAAAATAAATGTATAAAATCTTTAAAAAGCTGATTGTGCCCTGGTCAGTGTGGCTCAGTGGGTTGAAATGTTGTTCTGTAACCACAAAGTTGTGGGTTCAATTCCCAGTCAGGGTACAAACCGAGGTTGCAGGTTTGATCCCCCGTCTGGGCATGTATGATCATCAGTCCAGGTGCTTATGGGAGGCTACCAAATGATATTTCTCTTTCCCATTGATGTTTCTCTAAAAGCAATGAAAACATGTCCTCAGGTGAGGATTAAAAAACAGATTTTGTAAAGCTGATCGTGATTCATTAAATTGATTTTATAATCCACTCTGGGGCAGGAACTACATTTTTTAAATCTCCACCCTCTTCAAAATCTCCATTTCAAGCATGCCATTTTTAGACTTTACCTTCTATTATCTTTTTAGCCTTCTTCCTCTAGAACCTAACTCCAATCAATAGTTTTTTTAACTCCACTGAGATGTACAGTACATTGTGCTTACTACCTCTTCCCCCTCACCCTCTCACCACATCCCTACATCTTTCTTTACTTATAGTCTGTGTTCCCTCTTAAAATTGATCCCTTGGCTTGTACTATTAATGTCCCTCTGTCAAATTCACTCGGCTAAACCCCAATTCTTATTAAAATCCCAACTTTCCATGCACTCCTTGCCTGCTTCCAAACAGATGAATGTGACTAAACATTCCCCAGCAGGTGCCTATAAATTTTAAGCAGATCCTTAGTGTCACATGGTGATCCTTCTAAATTTCCCTAGTGAATTTATCCTCCCAATCTTTCAGTAACTCTCATACTTTCTCAAAAGAGCATTGCTACTACCCCCATTATTATTGATGACCTTACTCCTTCATTTGGAAAGTAAAATCAAGAGGAAGAGAATCTGTACATCCTCCTACCAATAATTCTACCACTCTAGCTGCATCTGTAGCTATGTGCCATGCTTTTCCTCTTATTAGAATACATGAACCCTCTGCTTCTATCCTGGCCCATCCCCTCCTGGACTTCACCCCTTCTCACCTGTTCAAAAGCTTTGTTCCTGCAGAGCTCCCTCTCCTGCATCAATTTTTCTCTTCTATTGGATCATTCTCATTTAGCATATAACATGCCACAGCATCACCCATCTTAAACTATATTCTGATCCCACATTCCCCTCTAGCTACCACTCCATTTCTCTACACCTCTTTGAAGCAAAACTCTTAGAGAAAAAGTTGAATGTGTTTGTTGTCTCTACTTCCTGTTTTCTTTTCCTTTTTCTAAGATTTTATCTATTTATTTTTAGAGAAGGTAAGAGAGGGAGAAAGAGAGGGAGAGAAACACCAATGTGTGGTTTTCCCTCACACATCCCCCAACCAGGGATCTGGCCTGCAACCCAGGCATGTGCCCTAGACTAGGTATGGAACCAGTGACCCTTTGGTGCACAGGCTGGCGTTCAATCCACTGAGCCACACCAGCCAGGGCTACTTCCTGTTTTCAGATGCTCTCTTGAATCCATTCCAATTTATTTACTCTAGTAAAACTCTAGTGAAGCTGCTGTGCCACTGTCACCAGTGATTTCCGCATTGCCAAATCAGGTAGTTAGTTTATAGTCTTCAGAAAGCATTTGGCAATATGACACATCTCACTTCTTCTTGGAGATATTCTCCTTTGGACTTCCAGGACTACAGACTTTACCGATTTTCTTCCTACTTCACTGACTGCTCCTGAGTCTTTGTTAGATCCTTCTCTTTCTGAACAAATGTTGGTGTGAATAAAGGCTCAGTACTTGGACTTCTTCCCTATCTGTGCTCACCCCTAAGTGATCTCACCTTGTTCCATGACTTAATAGCGATGACTTCTAACTCCAGATTCATATATCCAGCTACTCACTTAACATCTTTCTTAGAATCCTAGTAGCATCTCACATATCCCAAGAACCCCAAGCTGAACTCTTCCATTTTCATCCCTAAACTTCTTCCTTCCCAAATATCCTCCAACCCATAAATGGTTTATCTATTCATATTGCATAAGCTCCAAATTTTGGATTCTTCTTTCTTTCATACTGTACCCGGTGTCCATAAGAAATTCCTCTGGGCTCTACCTTCAAAATACATTCTTCACATGTCTACCACTACCACCAAGTCCAAGCCAACCTTCTCTCTTGCCTGGGCTGTTGTGCTAGCCTCATAACTGCTCTCCCTCCCTGTTTTTACTTTTGTTCCTCTACATTCCATTTTCCACATGACAGCCAAAGTCATCTTTCTAAAATGCAAGTTAGATCATGTCAGTTCCTTCCCTCAAACTTTCCTTTAGCCTCATACCACTCTTAGAAGAAATCCAAACTTTTCCTAATCGTGGACTACTAGGCACTACATTTTCTGGCCCCTGACAGCCTTTTTGAACTCATCTCCAGCTTCTGTCCCCCTCAGTTGCTGCTCTAGCCACATAGCCATTGTTGTTATTCCTCCTATATGCCAAGCATGTTTTTCCCTCCACAGCTTTGTACTTGCTGTTCTACTGAAGTCACTCTTTCCCCAGATAGCTACCTAATCCACTTCTTAGTTGACTCAAGACTCCACTTACCTAGCATTTCCCTAGACTTTCCCTACCACCTGTCTGAACCAGCAAGCCCCGCTCCTCTACCCGGTTCTCTCTCCTAACATTCTGTTCTGTTCCCTTCTATTCCATTTCATTCTGTGTATTATTTATCCACTCCTTCCACACAAACATATAAACATATTAAAATATGTATTCTACTAAGACAGAAACCTAATTTACTGCTATTTCTTCAATACCTAGAGCAGTACCTGGCACGTAATATGTGCTCTATAAATCAGTGAACTGTTGAATTAGTGTTGTAATTCAGAGTGTCAGCCAGATACTTGAAGCCCTAACTTTACTTCACTGTACCACACCATCTTACTTAATATTAATAGTCTTTCATTATTAAATATTAGAATAAACATACACATGAATCTTATGATGGTATGTAAAATTACTCAGTTGTATATCTGTTGGTGTTACTTAAGGTATTTTAGAGTATTTTAAAGCAAGGTAGATTTAATGGATTCTTACTATCTCCATCTAGACTCTTGGTCCTCTAAACTGTACCTTAGAGTTACAGTGAAAAGCCGTATTACTTATGGTAGAATTACAACATGGAGATACAATTAAATAGGTCATGAAGAGGCAATATTAGGAAAGTAAGAAACAATGATCATAAAGGCTGCTTTTTTTGCCTTTGATGTATATTATATCTGTATGGTAAACCTCTATGTGTATTTACAGATATATTCTGTGTGGGAAGCCTTAAGGGAAAGACACTGACAAAAATTATGGACCCATGAGAGAGAAATGTTTGGAATAAGTTAGAGAAAAAATATTTTTAACTTCAATTTGCTAGCATGATAAACTGAAGTAAATCTTTCTCTTTTGTATTTCTTAGTACTGCTGGCGGTGGACAGGTTTTAACTTCGGCTTTGACCTGCTTGTAACTTATACCAATCGATACATCATTTTCAAACGCAATACACTGAATCAGCCATGTAGTGGATCTGTCAGTTTACAACCTCGAAGGAGCATAGCATTTAGGTAGGTTGAGATTTCCCCACTCCGTTCCTCATTCCCAAAGAAATATTAAAAAATGAAATAAAACCTTGATAATTTACACCAATAATGGTAGAACTTTGATAAACTACAATATATATGAATGTGCAAGGAAATGATAAGACCCCATTCCTATAATGTATTAATAATCAAAATCATAAGATCTAGATCTAGTGTGTCAGGGAGAAAAAACAGGCTATAATATGAATGATACAGGATCGATACATGGCTTGAAACTGAAGCTGCTGCCTTGCTGCTATTCCTATCAAATGAGAGGTTCAAACTGGAAACACAGCAAGGTATTTTTCCACAAAAACATGCCTGGTATTATCCTTCACATTCTATAAAATTTAATATGTCCAGTTTTATCTAATAGTTGAGCTGGCAATATTTTTCTGGAGAGGATGCTGACAAATTGGAAAATAGCTTAATGAACAAATTTTTCTTAAAGTCCCATGTTTGTACTTACCATACACCATATACAAAAATTAACTCAAAATGGAGCAAAAACCTAAACATGAGAGCTAAAACTATAAACTAACTCTTGGAAGAAAATATTGGGGGAAAGCTCATTGACATTGGATTTGTCAGTGATTTCTACAGTGTGACACCAGAGCATAAGCAGCGAAAGAAAAAGGTTGATTGGACTTCATCAGAATTAAGAACTGCACCAAAGGGCATTATCAACAGAGTGAAAACACAGCCCATAGAGTGAGATAATATATTTGCTAACCATGCATCTGATAAGGAGTTAATATCCAGAATATATAAAAAAGTCCTAAAACTTCACAACCAAAAAAGCAAACAAACAGCCAGATTTAAAAATGGGCAAAGGACTTACTAAAATAAACATTTCTCCATAGGAGACAGACAGATGGTCAATAAGCACATGAAAAGATGCTCAGCACCACTGATCAGGGAAATGCAAATCAAAACCACAATAAGGTACTACCTCATACCCATATAGGATGGCTATTGTCGGAAACAAAGCAGTGTTGGTGAGGATCTAGAGAAACTGGACCCTTGTACATTGCTGGTGGGAATGTAAAATGGTGCATCTTTTGTGGAAAATGGTATGGCATTTCCTCCAAAATTAAATAGTATTACCGTGAGATCCAGCAATTCTTCTGGGTATTTACACAAAATAATTAAAAGCAGGGACTTGAACAGATTTGTATACTCATTATAGCATTATTCACAATAGCCAAAAGGTAGAAGCAACCCAGTGTCCATTGACAGATGAACAGATAAAATGTGGCATGTCCATACAATGGAATATTATTCAGCCTTAAAATGGAAGGAAATCCTGACAGGTGCAACCTTGAGGACATTCTGCTAAGTGAAATAAGCCAGTCACAAAGGAATAAATACTGTATTATTCCACTCACACAAGGGGTCTAGAGTAGACAAGTTTATACAGAAAGTAGGATAGTGGTTGTCAGGGGCTGGGGTAAGGAGAAGTAGGGAATTTGTGTTTACTGAGTACAGAATTTCTGGTGGGATGAGTGAAAAAGTTTGGGAGATGGATGGTGGTGATGATTGCAGAAATTGTATTTAATGCCAACTGTACACTTAAAGGTGGTTAAAATGGTAAATTTTATGTATATACTACAATAAAAAGGTACTTATAAGTTATTTTTATATCTAAGATATATGTAATAGCACAAGGTTATAAATCTAAATGGAATCAGTTTATAGTTTGAAAAGACTTTAAAAGTTTTATCAAACATAAAAGACTTAGAGAATATGGAAGACAAAATTAAATACTAAAGTAAGGGAAGGCTTATTTAAATGGTAGTTTAAAAATTTGTATGTTTATTTTATATTTGTGGGGTTTTTTTATTGTAGATTACGTTTGGCCTCTTTTGATAGTAGTGGAAAACTAATATGTAGTAGAACAACTGGCTATCAAATACTTACACTTGAAAAGGATCAGGTATGTTTGATTGCTTTTCTGTTGTTTGATTATAGTATTTGTCTTTTGAAGCCTCTTATCTTAATTAGAATTAAAATTAAGTAGAATTAACATTTGATTTAAGGTTGGTTTGAAAGTTTTTTTGAAGGTAAAGATGCAAGTACCATGTTTACTTCTGCACAGTTTACCACATTCTGCTGGAAGTGCAACTGAGACCAAAATCTCTGCACAATTTGATTTTGAGGGGCAGGGAAAAATCTTTAAAAGGGCAATAATTGTTTATCCTAAATATTATCTTCAAAAAGTTATGAATCTTAATTGCTTCATCCACCGTGTTTGTAAGCGCATTTATTTATACATTGATACCAGATACCTTGAAGACAATCCAGTAGGTTTCTATATAGTTCCTGAATATTAAGAGAACATTATCCTCTAGCACAATAGGTTTCTTTTATTTATTTATTTATTTTAGAGAAAAGTGAAGGGAGGGAGAAAGAGAGGGAGAAGAACATCAGTGTGTGAGGATACATTGATTAGTTGCCTCTTGCTCTCACATGCCCCCAGTTGGGGACCTGGCCCACAACCTAGGCATGTGCCTGGGAATCAAAGCAGTGACTTTTCGGGTTCACAGGCGAGTGTTCAATCCACTGAGCCACACCAGCCAGTGCTAGCACAATAGATTTCTGAAATAACAGACATCTGTAATGTTCCCAAATTCTCTAAAGCCATTTGTTTCTTCATTTTTCACATGCACATCAATGTTTTAAAATGTCATGATGAGAAAGTAAACCATTTTCTAAAAGTAAAATGAGAGCCATTAAAATACTACTGAAGTTTATTGCTATTAAAACTAACCACCATTCCAAAAAACATGGTCTTTTATTAAAGGATTCAGAGCCTATAGTTCACATAAATTATTAGAAGTTAGCAATATTCCTCAAACTAAAGAGACTCTCATGGAATATCAGAATTTAGCATCACAAGGAACACTGGAAGTGATCATTCTAGCAGCTTTACATGCTCTGTGACAGCATTCTGACAGAGGGTCCTCCAACCCCTGGTGATGGAGTTGACTCTCTCAGGTGGTGGAAACTATTTGAGAAGGTAGCTACATAATAAAGTTCAAATGTGGCTCTATTGGAATTCTCTATTGTGCCCTCTGGAGATGCATAGAAAATGACTGTCTTTACCTGGTACCTAGAACTTCATTAAAAAATATTGTCAGCCCTGGCTGGTGTAGCTAAGTGGATTGAGCACGGGCCTGCAAACCAAAGGGTTGCCTGTTGGATTCCCAGTCAGGGCACATGCCTGGGTTGCGGGCCAGGTCCCCACTAGGGGGGCATGTGAGAGGCAACCACATGTTGATATTTCTGTCTCTTTCTCCTTCCCTTCCCCTCTCTCTAAAAATAAATAAAATCTTTAAAAAACATATTGTCATGGCTCAAAGCAGCCAGACTTAAAAAACAAGACTAGATCAAGGTAGTAGTTGTATTCCAAGCATTCCTTGATTTGTTCATTCAGCAAACATTTGTGTCTGTACCACATGCCAGTTTCTATGCTAGGAATAGAGGAAATAAAGAGAAATTTATATTATGTATCTTGGTCTAAGTAGCATGGTAGAGATGGGCTCAGAGTAGTGTGCAACATTGAGGGAGCAGTCCTCAACCCTTATATGAGGTTGGGGGACAGGTGTGGTCATTAGGGGTGTAGGAGAACGGAAGACAGCTCAGGGAAAACCTCCTCTCCTGGGGAAGTTGGCAAGTGAATGGGTATCTGAACAAAGACTCAAATGATGAGTCAGATAATGAGACAGGGGAGCACCTGGGTCATTCAAGGAACTGAATGAGGTTTGGAGGAGGTCAGTAGGACCAGAGCCAGGGCATGATGGGCTGTGGACAGAGTTTAAACTTTTTCCTGAGATCTGTAGAGAGTTATAGAAGGGCTTTATTTGGGGAATTTTATATGTATGTTTCACACAGGTTATAGATGTTTGCTGTGGAAAATTAGAAAATGTAAGTGAAAATAAAAATCATACAAACTCCAGTTAGAGGTTATACCAAAATTAGATCTTACTGTTATTTTGTACCCTGCTTTTTCCCCACTTTGTTTTGCATTGCTTTTCTTGTCAATAAATATATATCCACACATCATTTTTATTACTGCATAATGTTGTTTTGGATATATCATTATTTAAATAATCCTTGCTTTTTGGGGTTTGGGGGGTTTTATCACTATTATTAAAAGTGTATATGCTATGTCTTTCCACATTTTTCTGATTTTTAAATGATCAATTCCAAGAAGTAGAGTTCTTGTCAGATAGTGTATATATTTCCTAGTAACCAGATTGCCTTCCAGTAATACCATCCACGTTATATTCCCTCCGGCAGGAGAGCATGCCGAGCGCCCATGCACTGTCATCCTTCCTCATCCGTCCCCAGTATGAAAAGTGAAAACAAATTATATTTAATTTTCATTCCCTTGGTTACTGGTATAGTTGGCATTTTTGTATGCTTATTGAACATACTGTGTAAATTAATAATTTATACTGTTTATGTTTATATTTTTATTAAGGTGTTTGTTTTCTTGTTAATTTTTAACAGCTTTGATATTTTGAGAGTTATTAACATCTGTGATATACTAGAGTTTTCCCATTTTGTCATTTATCTCTCAAACTTCTTAAAATAATCTATCTATTTATTTAATGATTTCTTCATTTGGTGTGATGCTTAGTCCTAATAATTAAGATTATATAAATAGTCATCTGTGCTTTTTCTACTCCTTTAATTTTTCACATTTGAGTATTTTTATGATATATCTAAAGTGTATCAGATGTATCAATGTATTTGAAATGCCATTTTTATCATGTACTACATCCTTATATACTTGGCTTCATTTCTTAACTTTGTTATGTTTTATTGATTTCCGTGTTGTGGAGACAGCAACACATTGTTTTTAGACTAACTTTAAAATTAATTTGAACACCTAGTAATGAAACCCACTTTCATTCTTCTCTTTTCAAAAATCTCTGGGTTCTTTGTGCACGATTATTCTGTTTGGGGTATAGAATCATTTTGTCACATTTCCTCTCAAACATTCCTGAGTGTAACCAAACGCAGGTCCGACTGCCTGCCAATATGAAAGCCAGTACTCCAGAGGCAGGTGCTGATGTGAAAGAAAGTGGTTTATTTGCGGATGCTGGCCATTTGGAAGATGGGCGACTCATGTCTCAAAGCCTGTTTTGTGGAAGATGGGGGACTTACGTCACAAAGCCCATTTCCCCCTCTCATTGGAGGCAGAGATTTTTTATAAGGACAGAAAGGGGAACAGAACAAAGAGATGAAGGTAGGGGGTTGCAAAGTTCTCTCTGTGCTTACAAGCATAGCCCATTCCAATACGGCAAGTGATGGTCTGGTGTGCATCATGCTGGTGTAGTCATCCTGGCTTCACATTATCCCGGCTTCATGTCGTCCTGGCTTCATAGCTGAAGGTCAGCAAATTTTCTGGAGCTGAGATGCCTGAAGTTGGGAGTCTGTCTTTTGAAGTTAGTTCCTAGGATTCACATACAAACATGCTGTTCCTGTGTAAGACACATATTAGAGTTAATACTTACAATGTCAAAAGAATGGTGGGTGGATCATTATGGATTCCCACCATAACGATTTTCCACTGTTAGAAGAGGACTTAGATTGATATTTGTTAAATATATACAGTAATTTGGGGAAAATTAATATCTTTCTAGAATATGTTTTTTCCTACATTTATTTAGTTTTCTCTTAGGTCTCTAAAATTTATCATTTGTTCCCCCATATTATCCCTGTATATTTCCTGGAAGTATAATGCTAAGTATTTAAATTTTAATTGTTAATATGAAAAATGAATCTTTTTTTCTAACAGTTTTTGATGACATGTAGGAAAGCTAGTGATTTTTTTTGCATATTTTATAACTATCCATCTTATAAGACTCTGCTAACTAGATCTGCATTAAGAAGGACCTCTCAGCCTGTGTAAGAAGGATGAGAGACATGATAATGGCAGGAAGACAATTTAGCAGCTATTGCTATAATCCAGGTAAATGATGAGAACCTTAACTTACGGAAGGTAGCAGTGGCGATGAAGAAGTGTTGATGGGTTCTAGAAACAAAGCAGTGCAGTTGAAAGAATATGGTTCCTAATTGTGAGGGTAAGAAAGGAAGTGGTCAAAAGTAATCCTGGCTTTCTGACTTGGGCAACTTGATTTATAGTAGTATTTCCTGAGATTCGAATTGTGGAAATGAAAATGAATGTAACTTAAAGTGAGGATGAAGAGATGATGAATTCAGTTTAGGTATATTTAGTTTAAAGATATTGCCCTGGCTTGTGTGGCTTAGTGGATTGAGTGCCAGCCTGTGAACCAAAGGGTCGTCAGTTTAGTTCCCATTCAGGGCACATGCCTGAGTTGTGGGCCAGGCCCCCAATTGGGCAACCACACATTGGCTGCCCAACCACACAAAAGGCAACCACACATTGATGTTTCTCTCCCTGTGTTTCTCCCTCCCTTCCCCTCTCTAAAAACAAAATCCTTTTTTAAAAAAGGGGAAGCATTGAGGTGAAAATTTGATAGGCGGGTAGGTCATTGGATCTAGAGTTTTCAGGCAATGCCTGGGCTAGAAATAATGATTGGATGAGATAACCTACAGGAAGTGTGTAGAGAATGTGACAGGTTGGAAACCTAGGGAACACTGGTATTTAAGGGGTGGGTGTCCAAAAAAAGTAATCCAGTAAGACATTCAAGAACTGAGACAGGGAGTCCATTTTTAAATATGCCTTCACTTGGGTTATATATTGCTACAAACTCTGACCATGCCACGGTGAGTCAGGAAGCAAAAGGCTACCTGTGATTTGACATCATTCTTCTCTGCTGTCCCTTAGTACCATCAGCCCAGGTGATGCCTCACCTGACCCATCATCTTACCTATCTTACTCACTTTCCCTGTTTTTGAAAATATAGAGAAATTGCACCTGTTTTGGGGGATGCAGGGGAGACATTTTGTATTCTCAACCTCCTTTGTCCAAATGTATCTTGCTGCTCCCCCAACACAGAAACTATGTCCAAGTGAGACTACATTAGTCATGCAAATATTCCAGTTTCAGTCCCTCTTTATTCCAGAAATACATTCTAGAAGCACCTACTTCAGTAAAAAATTTAAAACTCTAGATTTAAACAGTGTTTAGTGACATATTCTCAAAAATATATATAAGGTGAAACTGATGCATATCATTGCAGAGAATGTATCCAGATATTTAAAAAGTACAAGTTATCATTTCAGTACTGCTGCTCCTACTCTGGTGATTTATTTTGCTCACCAAGTGCTGTAAAGGGTTCCAAACAGATCTGTAGCGTGCTGGTTGCAGTTCTGGCTCTCGGGTATATTATCAGCTCCTTTCTCTTTGGAATTTCCAGGCACTCTCTGAATTTGAAATTGATTTTACATGGTACTTTATATTCCAAGAGACAGATAACATGTCGGCATTAGAAACCGTGAGAAATATTAGATAAGAATGGGAACCAGGATTGTTGACTCCCCACCTTCATCCTAATTGTTTGCTATATACCTAAGGGTTTTCAAACTGAAGTCAAATGAGAAGTCTACATATTTCTGGACTCTTACCTGTTCTGGACTTTTACCTGTTCATAAAATATGTAGGTACTTGATAGAAATTTTTCAATGATGAAAACAGCTACTATTGTTGAGTACTTCATACATGGCTGGCTTTGCTGAGCCCTCTGTGTCATGGTCTCACGTAATCCTGTGAAGGGGGTACTCTTATGGTACTCATGTAACAGTGAGGACGCTGCAGTTGACAAGGCCGGTGACTTGCCCCAGGTCACACAGCTTGTGGGTGGGAGTTTTGAGATGTGAGCAGTAGCTCTCAGACTACAGATGCAAGCCCTTATCTACCATACTATTTCCTTCAGTTCATTCAGTTCAAGAATTCGGTTTTATGTTAGTTGGTTTGTTGGTTTTTAATATTATACCTTCTTGTCATTAAAAACAAATTTGTTTTATAGGAACAAGTAGTGATGAATTTGGACAGCAGGCTTCTGATCTTCCCTCTGTATATCTGCTGTAATTTCCTGTATATATCACCAGAAAAAAGAACTGAAAATAATCGTCATCCAGAAAATCCAGAAAACTGAGGATCTTATTGATTGGAAACAGTAGCACTTTGAAAACTTTTTCAGCCAGCTTTAACTTAATGGCCCTATGATGTTCACATCTAAGGTGACTAACAATGACAAAGGCCTTATGAACTGTACAGGTAATACGGAAGACTATTCTTCATCACATTTCTATACATACATTAAAAAAAAATTGAAGCCAAGAAGATATCTGTCAATCCATTTCTGCTATAAACATGTCAGCTCATGCTTTTAATTTACCATCAGTAGAAAATCACTATAGGTGTATTTCATGTTTCTCTGCAACCAAATATAGAGTTAATTTTTAGCTTAAACTTTGATCCTACCTAATGTTAATGTACTCAGTTATCCATCTGTAAATTTATTTTGTTTGTCTGAAAGAAGACTAAAGAAACAATTTGAAAGGCCAATTATCAATGATCTTTCAGTTGATGTATTTAAAGCTGTCATTTAATTTTTTTCAATTGCTCTTTATGATTCCTCCTACTATCCTTCTAATATGTAGTTGTTTTTAGTCATTAAATACTTTTTTCATGGCTTTGGAGACTAAGCTGAGGAAACTTTTTATTTAACTTACCCATTTGTATGCTATTTTAATTTTGTTTTTTTAGTCTTTTAACCACCACAACAACAATAAATCAGTTTCAGACTTTCAGATGAACTGGAATGGGAGAAGTCAGTGTGACTCTGAGTATATTGCTTTGCCTTACATGGTCTCTTCTTTGACATGCTGTACAACTTTATTATTATGTCAAAGATTATTTATGTATCAAACATCACACTTTAAACATTTTATAGTCTAATCTTTAGAAGTATTTATGTTCAAATTTTGGTTGGGAATCCTATTTCCTACTTAAGCTCAGGACTTTATAACCTCTGAATTGAGTGCCTTTGAGTTACACATGCTAATAGAAGTTTCATAGTAATTGTAAATAAAGTTGAAGGATGTCATAGAAGCTGGTAATAAAGCATTAATGTAAAATAGAACTTATTTTTGTCAAAAATGAGATGTACACTTGTCATGATTTATATATGTTGGCTTCTTGTGTTTACCGTCATTTTGAAAATAGCCATGCTCCTTGTCTTTCCCGTCAAAGTGAATACTTTTTTGTGGTTAATGTATATTTTTAGTATGTTTTAAAAAAATGGCAATCACTTTTATGTATCTGTACATATAATAAATACCCATTTGGAAAAAGAATAAAAACGTCTTTTATGAAATGGACCAAAAAAAAACTTAATTGAAACCAGAACTTTTTTCTTTGAAGTTAGATATTTTCCAATTAGATTTAACTTTTGGAATTTATTGATAGTTTTTCTTCCCAGTAATATGTCTATAGGTTTACAAATTGCTTTTGTCCTTTCAAAATTCATTCTCCTGGTTAATTTAAAGGAAGATCTTAAATGCTTCCATCTTCTTTGTCCCCCAGAACTGCAGTTTTAAGTGTTTCTAATACAATAGTTTAGCTGCATCAAGAGGCTACATTTCTTATTTTTATATTTGGCTATAATTATATCTCACAAGATGCTTTTGGTTTTCTCCTACTTGCTGCATCAGAGGTTCCTTACCCTGTATATATTAAAACATGTAAATACCAATCTTGAAGTATTTTACTAGTTGAATTTTTTCAAATCTTGGGAGGAAAGATAAGTAGTTTTGAGTATATTCATGAATTATTTAATTTCACTTATATAAACTGATCACATTGGAATTATGTATGGGTTCTTGTCCATTGGTTCATTGCTTGTGTCACCCACAAACAATAATTTCTTTAGTAATAAGTAGGTTGTGTTCTTATTTGAAAAACTGATAATTAGTTCTTCACATTGATATCAAAGATCTGCTTTTGTTTTCTTACCAAATACTTTAATGTTTGCATACTTTTTACTCTTTTTAATAAGAATATTTGCAATAAAGCATTAATAGTGTCAGCTGACATACTGTATAAACTATTATATATGAAGGTTTTTGTCTTATAGTCTTTGCCAAGTCTTTTTCTTAAGCTGCTAGGGATAGAAAACAACACCAAGTAATAATTATTTTAACTTGGCTGTCAGTAAAGAAGGGGTCCTCCTTAAGAGAGGAAATGTTCTAGAGTCTAACGCTAAATAATTAAAGAGGGATATGAATGCACCTCACTTTTAAAAATGTGTGTGTGTGTGTGTGTGTGTGTGTCTTGAAACTTAGCAAGCCAAAATTAAATGAACAGTGGTAGTCACTAGCTATTTTTTTACCAAGTGTTTAGCAGCCCACATTATATCAGATTTGAAATCTTTGAATAGTATTAAGGAACAGTTTTCAACATCACATGCAAAAATAGGGCTCCAAAAAGTCACTGTGGCTATCTAAATTTAAGCTAATTAAAATTAAATAAAATTTAAAATTTACTTCCTCAGTTGCAATAGGCACATCAAAGTGCTTAGTTAATCACATGTAAATAGTGGCTACCATACCAGACAGTGCAGATATAGAATATTCCCATCACTGCAGAAAGCTCTATCAAATAGATTTGGTCTAGAATATTGGACTGTCAATATTGAAACTATGTCAAAAGCTTCATTCACCTAGAGATGAACCCATGTAAAGAACAGAAAAGTTAACAGAACCAGAGGTGCAAATGGTTACTTGTCAAGCACCTAAAATGATATGTTGAGTCATAATTTCAAGCAATGTGGATCTAATTGCTTGACTGCATTAAAAAACAGAAGGCATATAGTACAGGTCCTTCCCCAACCAGAGAATCTGAAACTCTTCCCACGGTCCGAGGTATGGGGTATAAAAGCAAAATCTCAAACATCATCAATCACTGTTAACAAGTGATCAGACTACATTTAATTAGGGGGAATACTACTGACTCAACAGTGGGTGTCCATATGTAATGATGAAGTAGGATACTTTTGTGAAGGCTCATGATTTTATATGAAACAGGACTAGAAATATAAAACAAAATGTAACCAAGGCTAGAGGTAGTAGATTTGCAGAGAATCACAGATGGTTAAATACAGTTTGCCTTTAATGAAAAAGGTTGGAAAAAATTTATATGTACGTATGATCACAGGTATTGACTTAACCCCACCCTCCCCACTCAAATTCTACCTAAATAGCCTTTAGAAAGAGAGAAGTTCAAACCATGTATTGGAAACATAGAGGGCTTTCTTCCAGATACAATGCTGAAGACTTACACTGCTGGATAATCTACACCCTGAGAGAGAGCTGCTTGATCAGTAAATAAGGAAAGCCCTAGCAGAACCCAACTTCTATCCCATATTTTAAAGGGGAGGAGCCACTTGTAGAGACGCCATTTCTTTTCCTGGCAAAGGTTGATCTCACGTCCCATTATGGACTTAATCCTTTGTTTTTCCTTTCTCTTTACTTTTTTTTTTTCACTATACTCACTCAGTCACTCCAACATTTAAGCGGGCTTAAGTTTCTCCCATCTTTGAAAAACCATCAGTCACACCTTCACCTCTACCCACTACCACATTTTTCCCTGCCTCCATCACACTTCAGACAGTTCTCCAAATTGCCTTCACTTCAAAAGCCATTCACAACTCAACTTCACTAAAACTTTCCTAGTCAACAAACAGTTGCTAAATCCTGTAGGTTTCATGTGTTTGGGATTTTTTCTTCACTCCTTTTAATGAATATTTAAAATTAACCACTTTGTTCTCCTTTAAAAAAGCAGCCTTCTCTTAAGCTTCTTTGATATCACACTCCCCCAGTTTTTCTTGTTTTTCTGGCCATTCCTTAGTCTTCTGTGGGGCTCTTCCTCTGGCTATCTCCAGGCCATTTTCTTTCCCAAGCTTGCACCAGCTGATTCCATGTACTCTTAGGGCTTCAAATGAACATCTGCATTCCAATGATCACTTTTTTTGTAGTTCCAACCTAAATCTGCCTTCTGCATTTCCAGATGCACATCTAGTTGGCATCTCTTGGGTGTTCAAAATGACACCTGAAATTAGCATGTCCTGATCTTGTTATGGAAGAAACTCAGTTCTTGCCGATGCAGTAAAGAATTACAGATCGGCAAGTCTATTAGTATGTAAGGAGGGTTTATTAGTGATATGTTCTTCTAGAAAAGAATGGGCCTTGCCAAGGTGGGGATTGAAAGGCATAGTAGGTTCAAGGGAGGGAAAGGTAAGGGCAGCAAAAAGCAGCAATGACAAAAGCATCAGTTCCTTTATCCTGAGGACTTATATAATTGGCAGGATCGGGGTGAAGTTACATATTGATTGGCAGGTAAAGGTGGTGCCAGCCTCCCCCAGGATACATGACTACCCAAATGTATGTGTGGAGATCTGTTATGTTAGCCTGAACCCTTGCTCCAGACCACAGTTTGGTCATCTTGTTGTAAAACAGATAGGTGACAGGAGGTAGTTAATTAAAGTTGAGGCAGTTACCCAAAGTTACTTATGGGCTCTTTTTGTAACCATCAGGGACTCTGTAACCAGAGGCAGGCAATTAACCAAACTTGTTTTATGGGCTGCTTCTTTGAATGCTGTGAACCCTCTCCCACCTTCCAGGCCTTGGGATGAGCACAGTTTCAAAGGCTTTCTTTCCCAGATAAATGAAACAATACATAGAGAGTTTCAAGGGCTCCCCTCCTCCAGTGCTAGCCTGTTGTTTCTTGTGATGCTGGAACACCTGGCAATATCATTGGACCAGGCTCAGGACTGCTGAGTTAGTGGTTGAGACTTGCCTCCCTCCTCCCTGCCCTGGTTTGCTATCTATCTACCTAACAATCTGAATGTATATTCTTACCAAAATGTATCTTACATACTTTATCAAATAATGACATCATCTACCTAGTTTCACAAATGAGAAACCCAAATAAGTCTTCTAATACCCTCATCCTCTGCATCCAAAAATCACCAAGTTTTTCTAGGTTCACCAACTATTTCTTAAATTTAAGCACTTTCCACCATACCTACTTACACCATTTTAGTACATGTCAGTGCAATTTCCCATCTAGATTATTGTACCAGCCTATTATTATATTCCCCCAGTCAAATCTCTACATTACTCAGTGTTCTCTTAATAAATTCAAATCTGATTCCCTGCCATCCTTAAAACCTTCAAAGGTTCACTACTGCCTTTGTCTCAAGATAACTGTCAGTTTACAAGTCTATTCTAGCCTTTTCTTTACATTTCCACTTCTTGTTCCCTAAGTGGCTGTCATACTTTCAGTTCTCTGCATAGCCCATCCTCACCTTTGTATGTGCAGCCTCCTCTGTCTGACAATCTCTTCCACCTCCCTCTACTACAAATGTCACCCTATTTCACCTGGCTAATTTCTACTTATCTTTAAGGTCTTGTTTGGACATCATTTCCTTCTGGAAACTTTTCTTGACAACCTTCCCCCTCAAAACCAGTTAGGTACCGGTCTTATGTGCCCTCATAATGTTCTTCTATCAGTGCACATTCACACTGTTTACTTGTTTGTGTCCCTCAGTGGCCAGCAGTCTACTCAAGAGCAGGCATATCTTTTTCACTGACTAAGCGTCTGGCATACAGGTGTGCAATAAATGTTCATGTGAATAATTGCATTAATCATGCCTTTTTCTTTCATTTTTTTTTCTGATGCTTTGACAACTTGGAAGCCTGCCTTTGAACTGGCATCCTATACTCTCCAACCACCTTCTTTACTAAACTCTTACAAGCCAGACAATTATTCCTCTGCCCTAACAACCCCAGGGCCAGGTACCAAACAATTCCGGAAAGCCCCTACATCCCAAAATCCCTTAAAAGTATTCAAACTCGCCAATTATAAACTTGCTTACCCTGCTTCCCCCATTTCTTCCAGCAAAAACCACAATAAAGTCTCTTATCCATGCTTTCCCCCTCGCTCCCTCTGCCTCCTGATCCACCCTGATGCTTCCCCCTGTGGACTTAAACTGCGAACGCTGTGTTTAGAATTGGTTTGATAAGAAACCTTTTGTGCATGTGGGCAAGAACTAGAAAGGAAAATGAGGGGGGGAGGGATACGGGTTTTTTCCAGATTTCTATAATAATATCAATTAGCATACTTTAATGCCCACCGTGAACACAAAAGCCATGGCAAAAATGGGGCTGGAAGACCAGAGAGAAGAACTTGGTTCTCACCAGCATTTCTGACCTCAGATGGTTTAGCTCAAACCCACTTCTTTAGAAGCCGGAACCCTTGCGAACCGTGTGAACGTTTTCCAGTCGGCAAGTGAAAGCGCAGTTCCGGCTCTCCCGGAAGTTGTCGCACTTTCGTTTCCGGGGCAGTGTGAGGTAGAAGAGATCTCCGAATGGGTCGCAGCCGCAGCCGCTCCCCGCGGAGGGGTGAGTCCAGAAGCAAATGGGAGGGTCGGGGGGTCTATTGGAGGCGCACCCCACTTTTTTCAGTACTAGGGCCACGGAGAGACAGGCCCTTTATTCCTGAGAAGAGTGGGGGATGGAGGGGAGAGGAGTACCTGGCCCTCCGGATTTAAAGCAGTTTTTTTCCTCTAATAAATTGGTTTCGCTGACTCTTTGACAGCCTTTTATAGTAACTGTTGTTATTCTTGTGACTGGCTGTTTGAGAATCAGACCACGGTTCCCTCATTTAATTTCTGAGTGAATGTGTGCAAGTCATCCAACCTTTTTGAGACTGAATTCCCGTAATTAGACACTGGAGGTGCTATTACCTAGCTTTAAAAACTGATGGGAATATTAATGTCACATTCCATAACACTCAGCATGTGGTACAGCCAGGACCTCAAATGCCCCACTTATATTAGGGAAATTGATATTTAGAATATTGCGCCCAGGGAGCTCACGTGGTAAGGTCTTCTGGTCCCCACGGCCATAAGTGAAGCAGAGCGATGTAAAGGACGCAAGACGTGCAGCAGATCTTAGACCTTTGGCTCTGCCCCCTAGTCAGTTTCTACCACCTTCGACTAGTCAAGACTTGATGTTCTTAAAAGTTAAATGAGGCTACCATTCCCCACATGGTTGCTGAGTCACCTAAGTCTCAGTAGGGCCCAATATAATTTCAACTTCTTAACAGTTAAGGAGTAGTTATATTTATACAGTCCTAAAATTATTTCAGTCATTTGAAGGAAACCTGGAGGCTGATGTGCACCACCTCCACCCCCGTCAAAATGAGTTTGACACCCCTGCCTTAAGATGTGCTCAATCAGAATTATGCAGTGCTGTGTAACCATAGAACCAGATTTCCTTAATTTACTACCAAAAAAAAGTAACAATCTCAGTAATTTTTATATGTTGAAATAATAGTTTGGAAATATATGTGTTTAGTCAAACAATATTCTGTTAAAATTAGTTTCACCTGTTGGGGTTTTTTTGTTGTTGTTTTTACTTTTTTAATGTGGCTACCAGAAATGGCTCACATTATATGTGTATTGAACAGCATGGCTCCAAGAATTTTAGGTAATTTTGGCTCTGCAATTTTGCGTTTGTATTAGAGCGCAGGCGGTCCCGGTCCACCTCCCGGGAGAGAGAACGCAGGCGCCGAGAAAGGTCCCGGTCCCGGGAGAGAGATCGGAGAAGGAGCCGCTCACGATCCCCGCACAGAAGACGCTCCAGGTAAGTGCAGAAAATAACCAAGGGTTTTACCACAAATCCCAAAGAAACTAGTTGTTCCCTCTGACTTTGTTTTCATCACTTATAAGGCGGTTTAAGTGTCACGAAATGAAGGGAACTTAAGCCCACTTCATTCTAAACCTAACATCCCCATTGATAAATGGATTAGTAAATCAGTACTCCTCGAGTTGCCTTTAGGAGTAAAGAGAAATGATGTGGGAAAAGCACTTATGGTCCTTAACAAGAATAAGAAATAAGGATTTGTTTTGTTTTATATTGTTTTGTTTTTGTTTTGTTTTAACTTTTTGTGATAATGGTTTAGTCAAGTATATAACCAAGAATATGAGATCTTGGAAGAACCTTAGAATGGACTCTTGATTCTTAGTAAGCATCAGTACTCTGGTTTCTCTTCAGATTGTATAAATCTTTAACCTTTTACTTAATAAGCATCAATTGCTGTTTAAGTCAACTTTTTGCATATTTATGTGTAATTGTTAGAAACTGTTTAGTTACATTTTTCTGCTGTACAAAAACAAATTTTAGCCCTAGCTAACAATCAGGGCCTAGGCAGAACCTTCTAACTTATTCTTCTATAAGAACTAGACCCCTCAGACTTCTCTGGAGTCTGGCTTTTGTCCAGCTTTTACCTTTCTGGCACTCATGTGCATCTCTGCTAACTGACACAAGTGACCAGGTATGTCTCTGTTTCTGACTTCTTCACTTATTAAAATATTAGGTCCCCAAGGCGACATAGATCCACATCTCCTTCCCCTTCTCGACTGAAAGAAAGGAGAGATGAGGAAAAGAAAGAAGCAAAAGAAACAAAGAGCAAAGAACGTCAGATTACTGGTAAAGTTATCTGATAAATAACTATAGGAAGAATACGGCCTTGTTTAGATAACTTCAGTCATTTTGATAATTGTATAATTTTTGAACATTGAAATATATTAAGTTTTTTATAGTGTTCATTGCATATGGCTTTGAGATTTTTAATTGTACTTTAGTGAGTTCCTGGTTATCTGTCATGCTCCTGACATAGGAAGGAAAGTTAAAAATGTGAGCATATTCTATTTTGGAAGTACCTTGGAAACAAGTGTCATGTCTGATATTAAAGGTGGTACTGCTTGAAGGCTTCAGCCATGTCCTTTTAAGCAGTCTCTCCTGTGGAAGGTAGGGAGCACATTCCTTTGTTGCACCTTAACTTATATTCTGCCCAAATTGAAGAGGATCTTTTTTTGTTAGACTCAATCATTAAGCTAATTGTTTTAAATATTCTCTGCTGGGAAGGTAGAATGACTCTTAGTCTATTACCACTTTTCCTGTTATATATAAAATGATAAGAGTTTTAAAAATTATAAGTTACTTTTGCAGAGGAAGACTTGGAGGGCAAAACAGAGGAAGAAATAGAAATGATGAAGTTAATGGGATTTGCCTCCTTTGACTCCACAAAAGTAAGTAAAATATGCAGCCCGTTAAGCATTCTGAGTTGAATTAATTCATTATGACTGTCCCCTTTTTCCATATTCTTTACTATCACTAGTATAATTTCTTCTGCTGTTATAAGTTTGTTCAGTTAAAAGACAATAACTCTCTGTATAAAGGGCTTTGAAAGCATGGAGAGGAAGCAGTGAGGTGCTGTTTGATCCAGGAAGTGTTTGCCTAGGATGCTGTTGAGTTAGGTCTTAAAGGGCCAGTACGAAAAAGAGGAGGAAAATCATTTGAAGTAAAAGGAAGAGCTCATGAAAATGCCATGTAGGCATGAAGGAGCATGGTGTATTGTGGGAGTTTCAAATTCAGTGACTGGTAAAAGGATGCTGATGGGCTAGTGGCTACAATTAAGCTGGAAATAGAAGTAGAAAGCAAATTGTGGAGGGGCTTTTGCTACTCTTAGCCATGTTAAGGAATTTAGAATTGATTCTTTAGGTGTTGAGAGAAAGCAGTGATTTTTAAGAAAAGGAGAGACAGGATTATATGTGTGCTTTAGAAAAATGACCCAGGGCAGCATTGGAGTGTAGATGGGAGGCAGGTTAGATTGAAGATTCAGGGAGAACTGCTGAGCTGTGTAAGTGAAAGATAATGAAGACCCAAACTGACAGGAGGGGCTGTAATGTTGAGAACCATTCAGGAGCCAGAGTTAGTGGTAGGAGTGGGAGTGAGCAGTCAGTGATGACTCTAAGGTGACAGGCTGAAGGGTTAACCAAGAAAAGGTTATGGGAAGGGGAAGTGCCAGGAAACAGAAGAGGGAAATTCAGCTGCCCGAAAAAGATGACATTGGGTAGCTGTACACATATCTCACAGCTCAGAAGAGGGTGGATTAGAGATTGAACGCTATCTAGCCTTCACCGTAACACTGGAAAGAATGAGGAAATGGGGGAGGAAAAAGGAAGGGATTGTGGAACGACATAAAGTCAGTTATAGGGAGGAAGAGGGGAGAGAGCAGAGACAGGGAGATATGGGTAAAGAGAGAAATAGAGGAAAGGGGAGTTGGAGAGAGGAAATGGAAAGGGGAGGAGGAAAGAGGGGGCTAGTAAGGATACAAAAAAGGGAGAGTGTGTTTGGAGAGAAAATACATTTTAAAAACTTTTTCTTCTCTAGAATTTTAAGTCTGTTTAGTTTTCTAAATGAAAATTGAGATTTTAGACAAAAATAATGCTCTTGCCCTAATTTTGTATTCCATTGAGTTGTGAATGGAGTGGTATAGTTTCATATGTTGTAAGAGTTTCTAACCAATGTGATTGTGTAGGGTGCACATGTTTTGTTTTGTTTTGTTTTTAACGACAGCATAGCCCTGGCTGGTGTAGCTCAGTGGATTGAACACCAGTCTGCGAACCAAAAGGTCTCTGGTTCGATTCCCATCAGAGCACATGGCTGGGTTGCGGGCCAGGTCTCCAGGTGGGTGTGTGCAAGAGACAACCAATCCATGTTTCTTTCACACATTGATGTTTCTTTCCCACTCTTTCTCCCTCCCTGCTTACCTGACAGGGGAGATACTATGATCATGAAGGTAGTTTTCCCAGGGTGAGCCTTATCCAAATGTGGAAAGCCAAGTGCATACTTTGTGGGAATAGGAGACTGCATTTGCATTTTCCCCTGGCAAAAAAAAAGACAGTGTATAACTCAGGCATGACTATTTTGAAGTGAGAAAATTAAGAATGAACTCTGATTCTCACAAATGGTTATGTGAATCCCACTTTGGGATTTAGTGCAATTTATGTGTCAGCTTTTTTTCCCTTGAATATTTGTTTTCCAAAGAGTATTTTATAAGTGAAACTATTTACTAATGTATATAGGATACATAATAATATCTCTGAAGTAAAGCAACACTAATTTTATTGTTCTTAGGAGAATAGAGAGGGAACTTACCAGAATTATTTTCTTTTTTGGGCAGTGGGGTTACTATTGCTCAGTGTTTGAAATTCCTGAGAGTCAGATGTAAAGATGAAGTCTTACTTGCTTTAAAATGTAGTCTATAGTGAAGGTGTTTGTTTATAAAGGAAAAATTAGGTGAAAATTTATAGATCCCATAAAATTATTGAGTACTATCAGAATAAATGATATGAGTTGCTTTTTAATGACATCTATAAGAATGCTAATTTAGTTTATATACAGTGTTATAAGCTTATTTGTGTTTTTTAGCAGTGTATATCTTGTTATATTTCATCATAGATCTATAGTGGGACCTTTTCATATGCCAGTGTAGTCACTTATTTTCTCTTCCATTTTAACATTTTAGAAAAATTCAAAGTTTGGTTGTATTTATTAACAGATAATTTTTTATCACATCATGTAAAAGAAAATAGGGCTATTAATATAGAATTCCACAAATAGTTTTTCAAAAATCATTAAGACTTTAGCCATTGAACTTAGTACAAGGTTAGCATTATTTACTTTTTTTCCAAGCCAGTCTTTCCAACTCATGCCTATCTCCTGTTCTTTAGAAGTCAAAATCATACACCTCAAGTAATTTACCCGGTATTCTCCCCTTCCCGAAAATGTAGTGAAAATAGGAATAGAAAATTAAAACCAAATGTATTTATTTTAGCTCCACTTCAAATATGTACCTCATTTGTACATGCCTGTAGGCCAGTGAATAAGAATCCTTTTTTTGTCCTAACACAGATGTTTAACAAGTATGCTACACAGATATGGTACATTCCCATGAGTAACAGTAGGGGAAGGAGGAGGTTAAGGGTCATGTGCGTGGTATGTATGAGAGAGAGAGAGAGATTGAGCAACCAATGATGCTCACACACTTAAAATCATTTTCTGAGCGCTTGCAAGTTCAGTGGCCTAAGATGTGAGAATGAAAAGATGACTCACAGTCATATCCCTCCATCAAGAAAATTTCAGTCTCATAGGAAAAATAACATGAAGTATATACTGTACATCGTGATGATGCAGGTTAGAACATGGACAGTATTGGGAGGAAAGCCCAGTTAACGTTCTGTGGGAGCTAGAGAAGAGAGCCCTTCCTGCCAGCTGGATCATTTGAATTGGGCCTTGAACTATATGTAAGAACCCAATAGTTGAAGATTGGTTGGGAGGTGGGATGGTGATTCAGGCATGATGAACAGCAAGTGGTGAGATAGTTAACTTGGCTGAATCAAAAGAATTAATGAAAAAGAGTATAGATGCCACATGAGAAAAGGCCAAGATACAAGTGACACTCAACATTATCATCTGGTTCTGTGTTCTAATTTTTTATTTAAAAATCCAAATTACAAGGCCCATGCAATGAATGAGATCTAAGTAAATGGTGACTGATCAGCCGTGATTTGAGAACAAGAATTTTTCTAGATAAACTATCCTTAACTTGTATGTGGTTTCAAAGAATTCTTTGACCAAAAAAGGTTAGGATTTGTTCCTCTATTTCCCTGCATGCCTTACATATAATACATAAACCTTCAATGTTTGTAGGTTTGAATATTGTATTATTTGCTTACCTGTGACTCTAAAAAGGTGAACAAAATTGTAATACTTGGGAGCTCATGGGATAGCATCAGGATCTGAAAATTCTCTCTCATTGGACTACCTCATTCTTGGATGTGTCTTGTCATTTAAGTATGTCTGTGGGGTCCAGCTCTTTGAATTGAGGCATTTAATACATCCTTTTTTTTTAATATATTTTACTGATTATGCTATTACAGTTGTCCCATTTCCCCCCCTTCATTCCCCTCCACCCTGCACACCCTCTCCCACCCACATTCCCCCCTTTAGTTCAAGTCCATGTGTCATAACTTCTTTAGCTTCTACATTTCCCATACTACTCTTGCCCTCCCGCTGTCTATTTTGTATTTACCATCTATGCTACTTATTCTCTGTGCCTTTTCCCCCTCTCTCCTCCTCCCACTCTCCTGTTGCTAACCCTCCATGTGATCTCCATTTCTGTGGTTCTGTTCCTGTTCTAGTTGTTTGCTTAGTTTGTTTTTGTTTTTGTTTTAGGTGTGGTTGTTAATAATTGTGAGTTTACTGTCATTTTACTGTACATGTTTTTTATCTTCTTTTCCTTAGATAAGTCCCTTTAACATTTCATAAAATAAGGGCTTGGTGATGATGAACTCCTTTAACTTGACCTTATCTGAGAAGCACTTTATCTGCCCTTCCATTGAAATGAAAGCTAAATGAAAGCTTTGCTGGATAGAGTAATCTGGGATGTAGGTCCTTGCCTTTCATGACTTGGAATACTTCTTTCCAGCCCCTTCTTATCTATAAGGTCTCTTTTGAGAAATCAGCTGACAGTCTTATGGGAACTCCTTTGTAGGTTACTGTCTCCTTATCTCTTGCTGCTTCTAGTATTCTCACCTTCATTTTAATCTTGGGTAATGTAATTATGATGTGCCTTGGTGTGTTCTTCCTTGGGTCCAGCTTCTTTGGGACTCTGAGCTTCCTGGACTTCCTGAAAATCTATTTCCTTTGCCAGAGTGGGGAAGTTCTCCTTTATTATTTGTTCAAATAACTTGTCCACTTGTTCTTCCTCTTCCCCTTCTGGTACTCCTATAATTTGGATGTTGGAACGTTTAAAGATGTCCTGGAAATTCCTAAGCCTCTCCTCATGTTTTTGAATTCTTGTTTCTTCATTCTTTTCTGTTTGGTTGGTTGTTTCTTTCTTCTGGTCCACTCCATTGACTTGAGTCCTAGTTTTCTTTCTGTCACTATTGGTTCCCTGTGCATTTTCCTTCATTTCACTTAGCGTAGCCTTCATTTGTTCATCTAATTTGTGACCAAATTCAACCAATTCTGTGAGCATCCTGATCACCAGTGCTTTGAACTGTGCACCTGATGGGTTGGCTATCTCTTAGTCACTTAGTTGTATTTTCTGTTGAGCTTTGATCCATTCTTCCATTTGGGCCTTTGGTGGGGGGGGGGGGGGGGGCTTGTCACACCTGTTATGTATGAGGGGCAGAACCTTAGGTGTTCACCAGGGCAGAGCAACCCTGTTGCTGGGTTGTGATGCTGCATGTGGGGGAGGGGGCCAAGAGGGAACAATGGTGCCTCCTATGCTCTTTGTGGGATTTCAGTCCCTTCCGCCACTTCCCCCAAGCAAACTGGGCCTTTCTGGTGCTAATTCCCGTGTGGGTGGGCCTGTGTACATTCTAGGACCCTGTGGGTCTCTCCAAAGAACTCTCCTGTGAGGCTTGGGAGTCTCCCTGCGCCTCAACCCCCACAGGTGTTTTCGATCGGTGTTTTGAGGCTTTATTTCCCCGCGCTGGGACCCAGGGTTGCTTGGTCTGTCTCGCTCCCCAGCCTTGCCCGGTTTATCTGCATGTGCATGTGGGACTGCCCAGTCAGCCAGCCGCCTTGCGCGCAGTTCCTCACTTCACAGTCACCACCTCGCTGGGTCTGCCCATTGCCACCCCGCGCCTAGCTGGGGTCTGCCAGCCACCACCTGCGTGCCCAGGGTGCCTTACGCACTCAGTGCCACCACTTTTTGTGCCAAGACCCCTCTCCGCCCGCCTGCCTGACTCTGCCCTTCCTACCGGTCTGGATGAATGTGTCTATTTTAACTCCTTGGTTGTCCAACTTCCATACAGTTCAAATTTCTGTCCGTTCTGGTTGTTATTTTGTTTTTAATTTGTTGTTGTCCTTAATTTGGTTGTGTGAGGAGGCACAGTGTCTACCTACACCTCCACCTTGGCAGGAATAATATATCCTTCTGTTTTTTGTATTTTTTTATTGCTTTTCTCCAGGGAAAAAAGGTGGATGGCTCTGTAAATGCCTATGCCATAAATGTGTCTCAGAAGAGGAAGTACAGGTATGCATTAACCCCCATTATTAAGTTTGAACTGATGATATAAATTATGTTCTTGGGAAAGAATTTATTATGGGATAATTGTGTTTGTAGGAAATGTAGCAGTATTCCATATAGTCCCTTGTTTGAATCTTCTTGTTTATAGTCTGGTGTGTTAATTTCCAATTTACATGTGAACTATTCATTATTATAGAGAAGGATAGTTGGCTTAATGTTTTAGGACTGTATAGATAGTTCTTTCTTTAAAACATTATTTTTTAAAAAGGCTTTAGGCTTTAATTTCATTATAATTATAGACTTAAAATACATCCCTCCTGAATTACTTACTTACATTGGTTATGTTAGGATTTCAGTTGTAAATACATTCTTCTGTTAAGTACAGAGATTTTATCAATACCACAGGACAAACCAATTCATAGTTGAAATCTGAGTGAAATCCTGATGAGTGGAAAAGTCAAGACATCTTCAAACATTACCTCTACCTTTACTACTGACAAGAGACTAACATTCCAGTTAATTTACAATATAAATAATGTGTTTTGAGAATGCTGCGAGTTAAGGAACCAGAACCATCATTGGCATTCCTTTGTAAAGTTACCTTCAAATAAAATTTTAGGAAAGAACAGGACATCAGGTTTGGGAGTGGGAACCTCTGTGTTGTGTGTAACAAACAGTGGTTTAAAATGGGTGGTGTTGAGAAGGGCAAGAAGGTTTTTGTTCTGAAGTGTGCCCGGTGCCATACTGTGGGGAAAGGAAGCAAGCACAAGACTGGGCCAAATCTCCATGGTCTGTTTGGGCGAAAGACAGGTCAGACCCCTGGATTTTCTTACGTGGATGCCAACAAGAACAAAGGCATAACCTGAGGAGAGGCTGCACTTATGGAGTATTTGGAGAATCCCGTCAAGTATATCCCTGGAACAAAAATTATCTTCATTGGCATTAAGAAAAGTACATAAAGGGAAGACTTGATAGCTTATCTTAAAAAAAAAAGCAACTAATGAGTAACAGTTGACCACTGCCTTATTATTACAAATGTCTCATGACCTTTTTTATGTGTACCATATTTACATTGATCTCATACATCAGCATTCAGCTCATGAATGGCTGATAGAACATTTCTTTTGGGCAGTTCTGATTTAAGTAAGATGGGCTTGTAGTTAAATGAATATGATCAGCTTTTTGCACTTTGATGGTAATTTTGGTTCACCAAATTCTATCACTATTTTCACTTTCTAAAAAGGTGGTTGGACTTGATTCTATGTTCAACTTTTCAGAGATGGTGAATGCCATCTAAAAACCTGTAGGAGATTGGTTTCGTATTTAAATTTCTGTAACTGTACTAACATGTTTAAATACTGAGGAAGTCCCCTTCACTGTTTCTTAAAGCAGCAAGACTCACTTGTGTTTCAAATTGTGTTCATTACTCTGTTAAAAGTAAATAGCTGAAGCTAAGCTGTCATTGTCCATTTTATCTTTTTGGTCCGAACTATGCCAATTTAATTAAAATTTCCTTTATCTAAGCTGTTGCCTTTTACCTGATGAAAGTCATTTTAGTGTGGTTCGAGTATAATATCAAATGAAGAATATTTAACACTTTTCACATTTTATAGATGATCTATAAGGTCAGATACTCTTGAAATTCAGTATGACAAAGTGGAGTAGCAAACTTTGTGAATTCTTTAAGTCAAAGTTGTAATTCAGGATTGTCTTGAACAACTATTCAAAAACAACTGTAGAATTACTGTATGTGTGTGTGAAAGTTTTATGGAGAAAACCAGTACAGTATGCAATTGGATTTACTTGATGGGTACCTATTTTGGAACTCTGCTCTATTTCCTTACACTAGGTGTTTAGTGTTACCTGAAATAAGTAAGGATTTTCAGTTCATTTTTTAAAAGTCTTTGGGACCTTCCCAAATAGTTTTGAAAGTATATTTCCATATTTCTTTTTGGATTTTATGGAAATCTAAAATACTTTGGCTTATTTTGAAAGTGAAGTAGTCTTTTCTTAATGTACATTAAGTAATCTTGAATACTTCTTATCCTAAACTTTGCCACCTTAAAGGTGATTTATAGGTTTATTCTCTGAAGCATGTGGTTATTTTTTATAAGAGGAGTTCAGAATTTTTTTAAATAAACATTGAATTTTTTTTTTGTCATAGGCAATACATGAATCGAAAGGGTGGATTCAACAGACCTTTGGATTTCATTGCATGAGAATTGAAATGTTGAAGAATGATTTTTTCCCTCATTGTGATCAGAAGAGTGGATGTTATATTTTATATTTCATACTCATCAAAGCAGGATCACAGTCTTTCCTCCTTGTAAAGTAAGAAAATTTTATTTATGATGGGTGCAGGTCACTTATCCTGCCTCAGAAGAAGAAAGGTTAAATAATTACATTTTTTTCTTTTAGGAAATATCACTTGGGGCAGTCATTAACCCCATTTTCTTTTGTTCTTATTCCTGTGGAAGCTATGTATGGTTTGTTTTGTTTTGTTTTGTTTGGATGCTCATTAGGACTTTTTTGAACACATAAATTAATTTGGATGTAAGTCACTCAAATAAAGCAATATTTCTACCCCTTTGTATTTGATAACTGTTTTATTACTATATAAAAGTATCTTCCTACACATTTTCTTTTTTCATACATAGATTTAGATATGATTCTTAGACATTTAAAAATTAAAAGAATGAACAATTTAAAAAGATGTTATCAAAAAATTAGATGAAAATGTATAACTAGATTTTTTATCTTCTGAGGGTTTTTTTCAATACCATTTATTACTTTGCACCTATTTTAAAAGCAGTACATGCTTATTAAAAAATGGGAGAAACCAAACAGTAAAAGAAAAGCCAAAATCACCTATAATCTACCCCCAGAAGTAATGTTAATATTTCGGTATACAGTTGTCCCTCACTATATCGCAGTTCACTTATTGAGGCTTCACTGTATCATGGGTTTTAAAAAATATATATATCTAATTCTGTATCTTGGAGTTTTCATTGTATTGTGGGATTTTGCAATATACTGTACCCACATAGAATTTTATATGTTGTTAAAATTACATAGGTTTAAGAGTGTAGAAAGTGTTTAAGAGCATGTGAAGTGTTTACAAGAGTGTGGGAAAGGTTAATAAGAGAGTGAGAAAGGTTTATAGGAGTGTGGGAAGGATTTATAAAGCCTTAAAATATACATAAATAATAAAATAAATATAACATCGCTACTTCCCGGATTTTCACCTGTATCCTGAGGGTCTCTGGAACGTAACTCCCGCAAAAGGTGAGGGATCACTATATGTCTTTCCAAGTGCCTATGGGTGTATATTTCTTACTTGCATCCATGAGATCGGGATGTATATGCTGCTCTCTTTTACTAACCCTTTTTCTCCCATGTGTTGTGAATATTTTTTAAAGGTTTTATTTACTTTTAGAGAGAGGGGAAGGGAGGGAGAAAGACAGGGAGAGAAACATCAGTGTGCAAGAGATACTGTATTTTGTAGTGTATAATACACTCCTATGTATAATGGACACCCACATTTTAGGCCCGAACTTTCAGGAAAAAAATCTTTCACTTCAATTTTTTAATTCAATTATTTGTTTGTTTGTTTATATTTAGGTACTTGTTTGTTATAAAGGAATTTTTTTTTTTTAAAGATTTTATTCATCCATTTTTAGGGAGGGAAGGGGGGGAGAGAGAGAGAGAGAGAGAGAGAGAGAGAGAGAGAGAGAAACATCAATGTGCGATTGCTGGGGGTTATGGCCTGCAACCCTGGAATGTACCCTGACTGGGAATCGAACCTGGGACACTTTGGTTCCCAGCCCGCGCTCAATCCACTGAGCTACGCCAGCCAGGGCTTGTTATAAAGGAATTTTAATATTTTTTGAACATATTATGGTACAAGAAATTTTATATAACAAACAATTACAAAACACAAGAACAGATACAAAGTATTTCAGGCACTACCTATGCATGATACACATCCTTATTTTTCCCTCAGAAATGTAGGCAAAAAGTGCACGTTATAAACAAAAAAATATGGTACATTTATCTCTCGCCTCTCGCACACCCCCAACTCGGGGGACCTGTCCTGCAACCCAAGCATGTGCACTACCCAGGAATCAAACTGGCGACCTTTCAGTTCACAGGCCAGGCTCAGTCTACTAAGCCACACCAACCAGAGCAGTTTCTTAATATTTTTACATATTCTTTGGAAAGTTAGCTTTTAGTAGGTACTTGGTTTTACCATAATTTATTATTAACTAATTCTTTGATGAACATTGGCTTCCCTCCCATGATTTGCTGTGAGTAGTAGTTATTATTTCTTATATGTGAGATAAAGGGGTATGTGTGTGTGTGTGCAGGTGCATATTTTAAGGTTTTTGATATGTATGGCTAGAAAGGTAACAGTCGACTCTCCCCTTTGAAGTGTGAGCATTCCCACATGTGCACTAATATTGGGTGTAATAATTTTTTTTAAGTTTCTAATCTGATGAGTAAAATACTGGTGTTTGGTTTCAATTTATTTAATTTCTAGGGAGGAAGAACATTTTAGAAACATGTGAGCCATGTATATTTCTTTTGTGAAATGCTAATTCCATATCTTGGATCCATTTGTGTTTTAGCAAGCTTTTCTTATTTGAAGGAAGCTCTTTTTATATTGAAGATAATAATCATTACCCATTCTATTCCACTGATATTTGACACTGTGGTTAACTTTTAAATTTGAGAGGTTTCTTTCTTTTTTTAAGTAACTAATACAAGCATAGTTCAGACAGCAAAAAGCAAGGGGGTCAAACTCATTTTCACCAGGGGCCACATCACCTCACGGTCGCCTTCAAAGGGCCAAATGTGATTTCAACTCCTTAACAGTTAAGGAGTGGTTACATTTATACAGTCCTAAAATTATTTTGGCCCTTTGAAGGCAATTGTGAGGCTGATGTGGCCCCTGGTGAAAATTAGTTTGACACCCCTGACATAAAGGGCATTGTGTTTTTTTTTCCAGAAATATTCCTTATGTACACAAAGATATATCCTATTTTATTAATCATATGTAAGCAAACTTTACACACTATTTTGCACCTAGCCTTTTTTCACTTACTTGTACATCTTAAGATTGCTTCTTATCAGTACATGTAATATTCCCACTTTTTTCTTTTTATCACCAAGTAGGGTTTATTCCAGAAATTTAGAGAGAAATAATGCAATTCACGGTATCCACATGGCTGCTTCTGTATATCCTGTTGTAGGACTCTCTGCAGCTGGTCTTCGGGCGGTTGGCTCTTCTGTAATTTACTTGTAATTTGATGTGGTCCTGGGAGGAGGTGAGCACAGTGTTGACCTACTCTACCTTCTGCCTCTTTTTTTTTAAGGACAGTGATTACAGTCTATTGTAGAATAGACTATAATTTGTTTTATATAATGCCCCATTTAATGGACATTTAAGTTGTTTCTAATTTTTACTATTTTTAAAAATTTCTGTAATCACTACAAGTACCTGATTTTGTAAGTGTCTTTAGCTGGATTTTAAAATCCTTCATTGCAGCCCTGGCTGGTGTAGCTCAGTGGATTGAGCGCGGGCTGGGAACCAAAGTGTCCCAGGTTCGATTCCCAGCCAGGGTACATGCCTGGGTTGCAGGCCATAACCCCCAGCAACCGCACATTGATGTTTCTCTCTCTGTCTATCTCCCTCCCTTCCCTCTCCAAAAATAAATAAATAAAATCTTAAAATCCTTCATTGCATTTGAAATTTGACCATCTATTATAGTTCTTTAAAAACTCTTCTGGTAAGTTATTCCCTGTGAAATATACAGGTATTATCTCCATTTTCCAGATGAAAAAGCTGAGGCTTTTCAGACCACGAAGGCAGAAATCATTGGTATTTATGCCAATAACTATGCCTTCTGTACCTAAATATTTGAAAGTGCTACATCCGTTGCACAAGTGTCACTGCCTCAGGCAGTTGGATTATTTTGTTGGACTTTTTGCCAACTGAGCTAAATGGAATCGCATACCCCTACTCTCCAAAAGCTTGTGTATTTGTCATTATCCATAACAAGGACTGTTTCTAACCACATATGTGCATACCCAAGGAAATCAGACCCAATTGTTTTAATAGGAAAGCCAAAATTTTTGAATAAAATATATACCCCAAACCGAATTACAGGTCTTTGAATTGTCCTCTTAGTATGGTGTTAGTAAAGATTTGACTTGAGATCCTCAAGGCAGCACATTCTGTAAGGAAATAATCTGAGAATATCTGGTGGCTCAGTAGATTTGTACACCATCAGCCAACATCAAAGAAATAGAGAAGGAGGAAGTATGAAAATTTAGAGATAAGACACCTCTGATCCTGAGAAGTCTTGGTTTAAAGGATCTTTTATCCATCAGATTGTCTGATTCTGTAGGAATAACAAAGATGGAAGGATAGCCTTGTCTTCTAACCAGCTGCTGCCTCTCAGCGGGCATAAATTATGCCAAATCTTCTATTTCTAAGTATTTAAATGTTAAGAGTGTTCTGGGGTTCCATCCCTGGACTTTCCAATTTCTGCCCTGGTAAGTCATGTATTTGCATGACTTCAAATATCTGTCTTGGTTCCAAATTTATACTCCAGCCTGACCATTTTACTGAGCTCCATGCTTGTATATGCACCTAGATTATTAGACATCTCAAATTTCTCCCATTTCCCTGCCCAGCCTTCTCTGAGGCTTCCTCATCTCAGTGAGTAGCTCATTCCTCCACTCACTTCTTTGCTCAGACCAAATCATTAGGGTCATCCTTGACTCCTTTCTCCTATGCAAACTTTTTTACTCTAATCTGAGAGTATATTTTGGATGCACTTTTTTCAATCCATTGAGGTATACTTGACATAAAATTGTAAAATACTTCAAGTATACATTGTAGTGATTTGATATGTTGAAACTGTTCACCACCTATACTAACTGAAGCCATCGCTCTGCCAGGACTACTGCAGTAGCCTCCTAGTAGGTCTCCTTCCTCCTCTTGCTGCCTCAGTTTATTGCAGCAGAAGTGGACCTTTTTAATTGTGCATCAAATCACATTGCTGCTGCCTCTGGCATTTTCCTGTCACTTAGAATAAAGTCCAGTCCTTACTGTGGTCCAGAAGCCTGAACAGTCTGGACCCTGGCATCTCACAGCCTCACCCCCTTGCTACTGCACTAAGTCACACTGCTGGCCCTCCTTGCTGTTCCTTCAGAACAGTTCTACATCTGCCTGAAGACTTATTCCTCCCAAAAGCATTCCTCCCCCACAAACACCCCCACCTTCAGTTTTGCATGGATGGCTTCTTCATGTTGTTCAGGTCTGGTCAAAATAAGGTTGTTCCTGAACATTTTATCCAAAATATCAAATCCCCCTTCCCTCTATTAATTCTGCTTTACCTTTTTTTAATGTTTAAAAAGTTGAGATATGATTTACCCTTTTAACGTATACCATTTCAGTGGTTTTTTAGTGTATTCATAGAGCTATGTATCCTTCAACACTAATACCAAAACATTTTCATCACCCCAAAAAGAAATTGTACCCATTAACATACATGCCTCATCCCTCCTACCACAGAAACCAC